TTAAACTTTAGAAAGACAAAATGGCCGTTCAAATTTACCGTTATCTAAAGTATTTTTTTTTCAAATTATTGATTTCGTTTTTGTTCTAGACCCCAGCTTCTAGAAACTTGAAATTTTAGGAGCTTTCAGACATTAACAATTAGTTAATTTTTTTTTCCATCTGCACCCCCTCTCAAGTTATCGCCTCTTGAAATTTCTAAAATTTGAATTTTTGACACCTTATATTTCCGAAACCGCAAATTTACAGTAACTCACACAATTAACCCTTAAAATCGAAAATTATGTTAACCCCTCTTTATATTAATTTTTGCTTTATTTCAAAGGCTGGATGTATGCATCATCCTAAATGTATGCAATCCTAGAAATAGCTTTGTACATGAATGAAAATAATTTTAATAGTGTGATAGGTATACATAGACTGTATTTAAAAGCAGAATTTTCATTTGTTGAAGGGAAAAGTGCTACAATACAAACCATTGGTTTGACCCAACTTTATTGGAACCAGGCTCAATGTTGTAAATTCAAAATATGTTAAACATAGTTCGCTAATTGCTAATAAAAATATTAAAACCTACAATATTATTGTTAAAATAAATTTTAAATTTATTAACTTAACATGCTTTTCTTCACTTATAGAAAATTCTCTTGAAATCACAGTTGTGTTTATTGCATATATACCTACATATTAGCGCTTGTATTGTAATCCTAAATGTGTTTTAATAAAATATGAAAATATTTAATACAATTGTTATTCTAACATAATTTCAACTTATTTAATTAATAATCAGCTAAGATAACTGATATTTACGATTATCTTGGATAATTAATGTTAGTTAATATTTAGCCAAACTATAAATCATACAAATTTAAAATAACATTACGAAATCAAAAACAGTCTTAGATTACGTTTTATGTTATTGCCAAAACATGTAATTTGAGAATCAAATGCAATGTATGGAAAAGTAACGAAAGTAATCAAACATGAAATAATTAAAACAGGCAATTATTAATAACAAATTTTTTAACATGAAATTTGAAAATAAAGCATTTTCTTTTTTAAAATGAATCATTATTCTTATTGATAAGAGCATACCAAGATTATGTATAATAATTGTGTAATAAATAAAATATTGCATATGTTCAGGATGAAAACAAAAATTAGCCAAACAATCGTTGAAATTGTGGTCGAATTCGATGGTGAGTTAAGATAAATTATTCCATTTGTAATGAAGACATTTATCATTTGTTTTTTGCTTTCGTAGAAATTCGGGAAAGCTTGCTGTTTCGGAAAAATTACTAGTCGAAAATCGAAATTTTGTTAACTTTGATGAGCAGTAGCTTTAAAGAGAAGGGAAATAAATAAAATATTTTGTTCAAATGAAAGAAACAATTTACTAATTTTTATAAGCTGTTAAAATTTTAGACCTTTATAATGTACCTAATTCCTAAGAGAGAAATAATATTAAAAATTTGGAAAAACCCGGTTGAAGATAACAGTTAATTTCAACAGGCATTTTGTTATTGTAATCTTCGACCATTCTTTTTTCCAATAGAAGAAACAAATCCCTATTTTTCTACCCAAAATCAAAGTGATTTTTAATTATATAAAATTTTGTGGACTTCAAATTTAATTATTGACTTAATGATAATTCAACAATTCGCATGTATTTAATTTTTTAAGTAAAACATTCAGTTAACATTGCACATTAATTGAATAGCAAATCTGTGAGTGCATTTTGCTACAAAAAAATAAATTTGACATGCAAGCAATTTAAAATTTAACAGAACAATTAAACGTGCTATTGATTACAAATATCAGAAATTACACTATTAATTTTCTCATTCAGAAATTAATTGTAATTATTTAAGGTTTACTATGGAAATATATAAAAAATTTATATATAGAATTTATATATGGAGGTGTTTTGAACTGTTAAAGTACTTCGATAATAATAACCGCAAAGTGTAAACTGACAAGTAAAATCTTATTATTAGATTTTGTTATTTTTAGAATTTAGTAATTATATATCATGATATTATCATCAAAATCTCATTTGTTTAATTGTTGATAAACATACACTAAATTAATTATATTTTTATTACTACAACTATAAATTTATACTTATACATTATGATTTATAATATTTTGATAAAAATTTTCTCTGTTAGTAAAATTTCTACATTATATTATAAAAATTCATTGAAAGATTAAATATAAATGGGTAAGTATATATATACAAATATAATATTTGCACATATGTATGTGCAGATATGTATAATACGATTTTTGGTTTATTTCATTATACCCACTTAAATTTTATAAGCATATTTAATAAAGCATTTATTTTTTAATCCTTTAATTTCTTTATAAATAAATTTAATCTACTCGTATACGAGTATAAATAAACTATTTGCTGAAAATAAATTTGATATAATTGTCATATTTATTTAAATAATTTATTATATAAAGCAATTCCTCTTATAACATAAATTTTGGTACAGAAAAATTTTTACTTTAAATAAAATTATATTGTGGGAGGTTCTTGAAAACTGATGGAGTTTGATATTTGCCTAAACTTTGCTAATTTAGTAACTGTATGTATGTAAGGAGAGTGGACTTCAAATGTAAAATAATAATCATATTAAATGATTTCATTTCAATTGCGAGGTTTTAGCGAAATTTTCAAGAAGTTAAAATTACATCAAATAAAAACAGGTGAGAATAATAAAATCTTAATAAATATATGGAAACTATTTAGCTTGAGGTCAAGTTATAGAAATGTAAAGCTAAATTTTAAATAATATTGCTCGATATTCAGGATTCATACTAAATCAAGGATATTAATTCTAATCTCAACTTTATAAAATATTGGGCAATCTTATACTTTACATATACATATACTTATTTTTAATAGCTCCATTTCTATTATGAAATTATTCGGAAATTACCAAAAAAAAAAAAAACGTTTAATTTTTTTTATTTAATTGTAATAAACCGGAAATGGAAAAATTCACGGATCTTTTAACTGCGTTTTAAACATAGGATATTGCTTATACTTTATTTTATTTTTATAAAATTATTATACGTAAAATAAATAAATATTTTAATATGGCCTATAATTTCCTGTAATCATTTTATTTTTCGATTATTATTTTTGTATTTTTGTTGTATATGTATACGTGAATGTATACTTATATTTTGCAATATATACTACAAAAGTTAAAGGATCATAACTCAAAAGGAAATCAATTTTATATATATAAGATTTTGAATGAAATTTCCCATAGTATAAGACGATGGAAACTAGCATAAGAGGCTGAAATTTAGCAATGGGTATTAAATATTATAAGTAAAAAACAAAATAATTCAAGTTCACTTACATTTCATTTTTATAAAGGAACTAAAAATTTATTAAGATTATAGTGTGTATTGTGAGCTGAAATGAATCCGTTTTCAATATTAGAAAGAAATATTTTTATTTTTCAAGACAATTATAATATCAAATAGAATAACTATACTCTTTGATTTCATAAAAGGTGAACTTAAAAAAGACAAAAACATTTGAAACAGTGAACCAGTTTACATTTACGATTTGTTTGTTAAACAATTTCATAAATTACAAATGCTTTCATATTGAAGATAATTAAATAATAAATTGAATTATGGCTATAATTTAAATTTTAATACGAATGTATGTAAATAATACAAGTTATTATGATTGGAGAAAAAAACTCGATCCATATTTTGATGTGCAATAATTAAATTTTGCAAATTTTAATTTCGAAAAATTTGCATACTTCACGGCGACTAATTTTCTTAAATGATTTTTTTAATGTTGTCAATTTTTGCCTTCTTTTAAGAAGCAAAATTTATTTTAAATTCTTACAAGAAAGTTAAATTATCCAAAATAGAAATTCCAAAAATGTTTTACAAGTAGAAAAAAACGTATGCATTTTTTTAAATAGAATCTTATACGACAACATCTAAATTCTAAATAAAAAGGTATTTCTCAAAAAATAAAGCAATTGACTGCCTTTATGGTAAAAATATTACGGTTAATATATTATGATTAAAATATTAAAAATTGTATAATTATTTTCAAGCTTTTTCTCGAAAGCTAGTTTTTGTCTGTTAATGTTGTTTTATTGGAGGCAAAACGGCCAAAACCGTATATTTATATTATATTTTAAGGAAATTCAAATCCGATTAAAGAAGTTATGCTCTACTGTTAAATCGGGTACAATTACAACTACTTCCCCCCTCTTTCATAAAATTGTAAAAAAAATTCCCTGCAATATTTCCAATACTCAGAGGGTTTTCCTTTATAAAATTTAATAGTTAAATGAATGGGCTTTTGCACTTAAAATAATTTACTATTTTACGAAATTGTAATTAATCTAGAAAAAAGTTCCTTTTCACTATTTTCACTATTACTATTATTGTTAAAGATAAGAAGAAGAAAATTTCTTTGAAAACTATAGTCAATAAATGACTTAATACGTAATGCAGTTGTTTCCGATCATAACAGTCGAAACTTAAATATTACGAAAATAAATTTTAAATTATTTTTTAATCGCTGTAATTTTTATTCTGCAGTGAAAAAAAATTTAATTATTTAATTAAAGACCATTATATCTCTGTATTAAATAATAAATTGAGTTGTGTGTGTATCAAAATTGATAAAACAAAATCCCTTATATTTAAAATAGACATTATTTTATGGTCACTGGATAAAGCTATTCAATTGAATTAAATTTAATATTAAATTTTTTATGTGACACTGCAAAAATAATGAAAAATATGTATATAGTTAGACTAGCTAGCATAAATATATTTTTAGATTAACATTGTTATAAAAACAAATAGAATTTCTATATAGATTAAATTGTATGAATTATACACACACATATATACATATATACAAACATTTATATTTATAATAAATAAAGATTTACAAGGTTTCTGAATTAAATTAATTATTTTTTACTTTTATTCTTAGTGTAAATGGTCACGTAAAGGATTTTTACGTACTAGATGGGAATTAAATTGCACAGTTATTGATTTAGTCAATATTCATTTATTTCATGACGCTTCTAATTTGGCTGCATGCGAAGAATTTCCATCCGTTTATTGTAAAACACGAAGGCGTGCTCTTGTTCATACATTAGAACGTTTTCATAGAGATAATAAAAATGGTATAGCACCATATTTTGTTTTCGGTGATTTTAATTTTCGTTGTGATACTGAAGGTGTAGTTAAGGTAAAGAAAATTTATAAATATATAAATTTATTATAAATAATTTACTTTTTAGTAATTGTTAAAAAATTAAAGCATAATTTTATTCAAAATTGATTGTATAAGCTTAGTAAAATTGTTTGTTGAAAAATAGCAACCGAGAAACTTTGATAACTTTTAATACTTGCTCTTAGATTATTAATTAAAGATCGATTTTTTTTAATCATTTATGAATATTAAATCATAAATTTTTTAATATTTTTTTAAAAGGAATTGACAGAAGACTTAACAAAACATCGTATTCAAAATGCAAAAAATGACTGTACAAAAATGCATTATAAAAATTCTAAAGGTGAAAATGTACTTACCGTTGGTAAAAAAGAATTCACACATAATGAACATCAAACAAAATTTAAAGAATCATGGGTAATTAAAAATTAAATTATTTTTTTAATTTTTTACCCAAATATATTTAAATTATAAATTATTTTTGCTTTTTTTCAATTAAAAAAGTTACAAAAATTTGATAGAGAATTGGAACCATTACGGGAAATACTAGTCGAATATCCAATAACATTTGCTCCAACATACCCTTATGAAGAGGATCCAGATATGCCAAAAAGTTATATGTCAACACGATGTCCAGCGTGGTGTGATCGAATATTATTGAATCCAACTGCAAGAGAATTAATTGTAGATGAAACATTCTCATCGAGTGATTATAATATTATTGGAGAGAATATTTGTATGGGAGATCATAAAGTAAGTTTTATTATAAATTTGATTAAAAGTGCGAAAACCTAAATTTTTCTAATTTCTATTTTCAGCCAACATATTTAAGTGTTAATCTAAAGACATTACAAGGTACAAATAAATATTGCAATTGTCATCAACAATTATTATTAAATGAGCATGCAAACAATTTTTATAATAATTTTAGTTCAATTTTATTGAATTCTCATAAAATGATAACGTCTCAAATAATCTTACCTGATTCCTTTGATTTATATAATGAAATTCCAGTAAATGCTTCTTTATATAAATATTGCTTATATTTAAATAGAAATTATGTAGATATTTTAATTGAATGTCGTAATTTAGATTTAAAAAATGCTAAAAAATTAAATGCATGTATTGAAAATGTTAAATACTTATGTAAAAATAAATCTAGTCCTGTTAATAATTTTAAAAATAAAATTTTATTAGCTTCTAATAATATAAAAATTAAAACTGATTCAATTAATAACATATTAAATAATAATGAAGAAAATGATATAAAAAATTCAACAATAAATAATTTTAATGAAAAAATTGAAAAAGAAAATAAAAATGATGACAAATCCCAATTATTAGAGAAACGAAAAGAATTAGAACCCCACCAATCACAACAACAACAACAACAACAACCTCGTATTAGCATTAATATAACAAATATAGATGATGGAACTGTTGATGATATATGTATGTGTTCAATATATTTAAAGGATAGTATTGATGTAACAGATAGTGTTATTACAAATTCAAATTCAAATAATATTGATGAAAATGTTCCACATATATGCTCACAATGTCAAAATATTATTAAATTTCAATCAAATGAACCAAGACGTAGATTAATATCAAAACGTTTAATGTTAGCAAATGATATTATTGTTAATCGTATTGATACACAATTTTTAAGTACAACAAATTTAATTCATAATCAATTCGAATCATATACTCCAGAATCAGCTGAATCTCATTCACCATGTCCCGAATATGCAGAATTTTCTTTGGATGATGAAATTAATGTAATTAATAATATTGAAAATGATAATGAAAATAATCATAAAAATAATGATCTCATAACACAAAATAGTCAAAATCAATTTAATATTGATAATTCAAAAAATAAACCAAAAAATAATCATTCAATAATATCAAACGACTATAGAATTGATTGTAATAAACATCCTAATGCACATAATAATGAAAATCAATTACTATTGATGAATGAAAACGATAATTCAATACAAAATAGTGATCCTTTAAATAATAAAAAACAAAATATGACAACACCCACTGAAAAACGTGGTATTGTATCACCAATACAATTGAAATCTAGACTAGAAATATTACAAAAAAAATCATTAGAAAGTGATATTGATGATGATTATAATGAATTATTAAATAAAAATAAAAATAGTACAGATTCAAATCAGATTAGAAAAAATTCTAAACAAAAATCATGCTTTGATAAATGTTGTGCTATTTCATAAATTCATTTTAGGAATCTTTACATATAATTTTGTAATATGTATACGAAAAATTAGAAATTACAATTTTTGAAAATAAAAACTATTTTGAAAGTGTTTGTATAGTTATAGTTTGTATAACAAAAATAATTTTCAAATATTAAATTTAATTAAATTTTAATTTTTCATTTCAACACTTTATTCAATACATACATACAATTATGTATATAATTTATAATTAATATCAACTGACTTAAATTAATTTTATATCTTTGTTAATATTATTATTGTAGAAGTTTTTTTTTTTTTAATATTTTGACGTTAGACTGATTTATTACCTTATGTTTCGAAACATTTATGATAAATTATATGATTTCCAGTTTTTAAAAAAGCACTATGTACATATTATAAAAAATCTAAGATACAATTATCTATTTTATAATAAGAAATATAAGAACTTTATTGTTGTATCTTACGAATTTATCTATCACAGATAAATCGAAAAAAAGTACATTTCGTCAATTTGATTAATGATCTATTAAAACGATTAATCAAATTTACCTATATACATACTTATATATATAATAATATTAAATATTATAGTATAAGAAAATATTTATATACATACATACATATAAATAAAGCAATTGGATTGAGAATTTGGTTATAAATTTAAAATTTTATCGAATTCATTCTTATTAATTTCTGATACTGAATAAGTCATAACTGCTCTTTTCGAAACTCAATATTTTCGAAGTGCAAAAACAAAAATTGAGTTATAAGTTGAAGTAAATTGATCAATATTTTTGGCTCTACTGATTCTAAATATTTTTTTTCAATTTAAAATTTAAATTTCAAAAAAATCGGTTGGTAAATTCCATCTGAAAAATGCATTTAAAAAAAAAATTGCAATTTTTAGCGCAGGCAACCTTTCTTGTCTTACAAATGGAAGGGTACTGAATTACAGAGTAAAATTTTTTAATAAAAAATAAAATTTAAAAATAAATTGAAGAAAAAAGCAAAAAAATAATAATTGTAATCTAGATGGCTTTAAAAACATAAGATTGCCAATTTTTTATAATTTTACATCGAAAGTTTCCTTAAGCCACTCAGTCGAAAATCCCATATTATTTTCTACTTATATTTTCCTCTCAATTCAAATGTTTTATTTATACTTTTTACTTACCTACACTATATATATAAAAAAAGGAATATTATTCTTTTAGCTTAAGTTTTAAAATTTTTTGTTCGGGAAATTGAAAATAAATTTATTCGATTTTAATTGAAAATTTATAGCTAAGAAAAAGAAGGTAAATAAGAAAAGTTATGATAAGAATTTAAGAATGATAAACTTAGTATAACGAACGAATGATAAACTCTAATAAAAATGTTGCAAAAATAATTAAAATAAATTGAATTTGCAAATGACAATATTGAGCTTATTAAATCATAATATTAAATTAGTACATCTTTTCCTCTTTAAAACAAAAAAATTAGGAAATGGCATATTTTATACTTAAAAAATTTCAGATGCAAGTCAAAAGAAAAATAGTAAATATTAATAATATTTTCTTAATAAATGTTTTATATTTAATTTTTATTTTTATTGAGTATTACATTAAGATAACAGCATTTATCATTGATTTTTTACTTAAAAACAAAGTTCCTAATTTAACAAATTTAATAATGTTTTTATGTTATTCAATTAATATTTCGTGAGGTTAATGCTACAACTAGATAACTCGCAATTATTGTGTTAGGGATATCAACTTTTAAAGATACAAAATTTAGCAATAACAAATAATTTAACAGTTTTGGCATTATAGTTTTTAGATATTTAAGAACACTTTTAAGCTTAAATATTGGTCGCAAACGAAAGTGCTATCAACAAAAAAATATAAAATTTTCGAGTTATCTAGTTGTAACATTATTAACCTCACGATATAATATTGTACTTACAATATATATTTTAAAATTGGACAATTTGATATTTATTACATCAATGTATAGTGTGAAATTAAAATTTTTCAATTTTTTATTTTATCAACTTGAGGAAATGCAAAAAAAAAAGAATTCATACTAACTAATCATAAAGTTTGTGAAAAACTTTGTTGTTTGTATAAAATTGTAATAAATATTCATTTTTTTTTAAAATGTTTTGTGTTTTTTAAGCCAATTTACTAAAACAAAAGCTCAACAAATTGAATATTAATTAAATATTATTAAATAAATGTTTCTATATTGCTTTTGCTTGCCATTGTTGTTTAAAATGCGATCTAACAATTAATTAATAACCAAATTTTTTAATAATTTTTAATAATTAAAATTATATTTTGAAAAATTTCTAGAAAATTGAACAGGACTATTATGTAAATTGCTAATTTTTATACAAAAGAAATTCATAATATCGTTAATTACATTAATCATAAAATTTAAAAAAAAAAAAATATTAAATATGAAATTCAATTTAATATTGGGCGTCTACCAAAATGCAGATCTAATGTAGACTTAACTTATTTACTTATTTATAATTGATTTTAATTACTGAATAAATTAATTTGATGTTAGATCTGTATTTTGTTAGGTGACATCTGATTCACATTCAGCTATTGATTTCAAAATTTAATTTAATTTTTATTTTTTTGTTTTAATGTACTTTTTAATATTAACTTCAACTTAACATTGTCATACAAATTATTAAATACTGATATCATTATAATATGATTTTTTTTAATAAGATTCCTCTCAAAAAAGAGTAGAACCCACAACAAAACTTAATTAATTAGATTAACTTCTTGTTCAGAGGATTTTTAATAGAAAATATACGATTTACTTATTATGCTTATATACATAAATATTATATTCGATAAAATCAATTTCAAACAAAATAAATTATAATATGAATTTTTTTTTCGTATTGTACTTAATTTGTATTTTATAAATTTCTATATGAAAAGTTGCAACTAAGCTTGTTATTTTGCATTTTTTTTTTTTAATAATTTTTTAAGAAACTTTTTTTTTTGTGTAAGCTAAATTTATAATTAAAATAAAATTATAAAAACTTGTTGTATATATATACATATAAAATATAAAAAAAAAGTTAAAACTAATTTTTTTTTAATAAATTTCATTTATTATTTATTTTTCTGTTTTTTGTTCTTTTATTTTGTTTAATTTTATTTTTTATTTTGCAGAATATTTCCTTTTATTTCTTTTTTAAAAAAAAAAATCCAGTGATTGGGAAAGCAAGATTTATATAATTTTTCAAATTTACTTATTCGACTTCAGTTCCTCTTAATTTGATGTTTCAAAAAAACATTGAATTTTGCATTGAATGGTTCACAAATACATAAAATATATTCATTCATAATAATGGAATATAATCTGAGATTTCTCTCTAACTTTTTTTTTATTTTTAAAATATTTAATTAAATCGTTATGTATTGAATTTTGCAAATCAAAAATCTATTATTAAAGTGCCATTTAGTCACCTAGACCAACTTGATTTTGAAAATAAATAATTTTAATAATTGATTTTATTAAATTTTAAAAATTACAATAATTTTGAAAAAAGGCTGATGGAAATTAGATTGATGATATCTATCTTGAAATTATATTTCTGCAAACTTAAGTTGATATTTTTCTTTTTATAAACAATTAATTTTTTAATTTATTAATTATTTTAAAAATTAATAAGATATGTAGCAACAAATTTATTATAACAAGAAAATATGATGATTGCTAGAAATTCACATTTGCTTAAAAAATTATTCCAATCACTACGTTTATTTTAATTTATTTATCATTTCTGGTAAGTGTTTTTAATTTTGTTATTTTGTTTTTTTTTAAGTTAAATATTATTTACTTAATATTTTAATTTCAAACAATTTTTTTTTAAAAAGCCTAATTTGTTAACTAGCATGGAAAAATTAAACTTAAGAATAAAATTTTATACTGTGTATATGAAAAGAATGATTTACGATAGAATGAGCAGAAAATCAGCTTTGATAAATTGCGTATGTAGTGCACGAAATATATTAGCAAAAAATAAAAAAAGTATTTTATTCCTAATAAAAGGAAGTTTTCTTTTCATACCAATAAAAAAAAAAAAGAATGATTTACGAATTGTATACGTAATGAGACACTCTATGTTTCAAATATGTTCTACAATTTTTTTAATATATGTAATTTGGTTAAAAACCTAAATTTTAACTTTACGTTTGAATTAAGAAGTAAATTGAATAAAAAAATTATAGGGATTTTTTGATAATTCAGATATGTATTAAAACTTCTAACTTTAATCTTAAAAATTTGTTTTTGCACTATTACAGATTTAAAGAAACAAACTAGTTAACTTTTTAATTTAATTTAATCAAATTAAATGTGTCTTACATTCTATGTGAGTTTTTTTAAATTTAAAATAGTTTTGCATATAATACAAAAAATCTACAAAAATGCTTAAGAAATTTAAGCGTGCTACGATTTTCGAACTTGCCTCTTTTATAATAAAGATTTATTGAATATACTACATTTGGAAATTTTCTAATTTTGATTTATCGGAACTGAATATTCGAAAATCCCCTATGCTTTAATCGATCTTTCCCAAATTTTCAGCTAATTAGCAGTTAAATATTAAAAATCGATTAATTCAAGTACACATTTTAATAATATTTTTTTTCTCACAAATAATGAAGAACTTAAATAAATACTTTTTAATTATATTAACTTTTTTGATAAGACTGGTTATTTATTTCTAAAGAAAATAGTGTTAAAAATCATACTGTTTCACCCGAGCTTTCCTTTATTCAAAAATTTTTATAAATATTTATATGTTATAAAATATGTGAATATTTTATATTAAAAAATTCACGCGTACGTAAAAATTATTTCGTGTTTCTTTTAAAATAAAACAAAATGTAAGTGAAAGCTTTATTGAAAAAAATTTTCTTTTCATATTCATAGAAAATTAATAATTTCGTTTTTTATTTAAAAATTTGTATAATAAATAACGATTTTAATTTTTTAATTAAAAATAATTCAAAATTTAATATATTGATATTTTTCTACACATGTTTTCATTTTCAGATAAGAGCAGTACTTTATCGTACGTACCAAAAGAATTGCAAAATATCATTTTAGAAATTTTTGAATATGAAACAAGTTTTTCGGTACCTAATGAAATTTCTTCCGAGAATAATACAAAAATTGAAAAAAAATTCGAAAATGAAAAATTCAAAAATATTTCAGAGGAAAACTGTTGGGTTGAAAATAAGGAAGTGACAATTCCAAGAAGTAAATACATTCATATAAAACCTTTAGATAAAACTGGCGATAGTGAAGAAAATATTATTAATAAAGATGATTCCGAGCAAAATGTACAAAATAGCAGTAGTAGTACTAGTAATTGTAACACACAATGTCTTTTAAAAGAAACTACCGTATAAAGTATTAAATTTTTATACAAAAATAAAAAAAAAAAAAACAATATTCTTAAAATAATATAAATAATAAAGAATTTATATATAGTAGTAAAAGAAAAACCTACCGACTTACCGAAAGCTTAAAAACATTTCTTTCCTATAGTCAATTCATCATATATACATACATATATATGTATAAATAAAAGATTATTTACGAAATTACGAAAAAAACATGCTCAATATAAAGTAATATGAAAAAAAAAAAACAAGTTTTCCATAAGAAAGTGTTGCAGATCCAAAACCAAAAATTTAGCTAGTGACAGCGCAAATAAAAAATTACCAAGAAGAATTTTTTGTTTTGCATCATCAACTATACCAAAATAAATACATCTTATATAAAATCGTACTTACTCAATACTTTAAATGATATTCCAAAAAAAAAAATTTAATTTAAAAGTTTTTTAAGCTTTAATAAAATAATTTAGTTTAAAATTTATAGAATTATATAATATTTAGTCCCTTGTTGAAATTGAAAATATAGTCTTTAAAAACTTAATATTTAATTTAAAATTAAAATATTTATTATAAAATACATACATATATAATATTTATAATCTAATTAACATGTACGTAATAAAATCAGAATTTAATTTAGTAAAATGAAATTCAATAATTAAGTCAAAATATTTATTATTAAATTTTATGACGTTAAAATTACGTTAAAAATTTTAGCGAGGAAATTGTAAATAAAATTTTGTTATTTATATTAATTTTTATTATTATTTAAATTAGTATATAATAATTTCTTTAAAATTATCAAACTATAAAAAAAAAACAAAAATTAATAAATTCTGACCTGGGCCCTATTGCAACAACCATTTTCATTTTTGTTTTTACTCTTTAATTTTTTAAAAAAGATTTTTTTTATTAATACAGTTCGTTAATAATTTTTTAGTTAATGGTTGATACAATATTCCCAAATGGTTTTTAAAGTGCATCAATTACCGTATGTTCGCTCTTCGTATCTTAAACATAATTTTTGTAACTATACATGTCAGTTTATAGATCACAACCTGATAAAAATATTTTTATTTCTTGTTAATTTTAAACTCTTAATTCAACTTTTAATATTAATGTAATATTCACAAATATCAAAATTGTTCATTGAATAGAAATATGACTTAATGACAATAACTTCCATTGCGATTCAATAGCAATTATTTTTAAATCAAATTTTGCTAAAAAACAAACTCCATTATATATACAGAAATAGTCTTCAGTGCATCATTTTTCATTAAAAATAAAAATCAATAAATAAAATAGTTTTTAAATTGTAATATTAAAAGTTTTAAGATAAATTACACTATTTGTGTACAATTCACAAATATAAAATTCAAATATTTCGAGTAAACATTGAATAGAAAGAGTCTAATGCAATGTCGTACCTTTATATAACGTTCTATTACACTTTGTTTTCTTTCAAATATCTCGCTTCTAATGAACAAATGTGTGTTTAGAATGAAAATTAACAAAAACTTTTTTTTTAATATTTCTGTAATTCTATATTAATTTATTTAAATCAATTTTACATGCTCTCCATCATTATTATAAACTCATAATATAAAACTTTCATTAATTCTATAATAGCCTCGTTTGATTCAGGATTCAGTATTTCAATACAGGGATATTTTTCACAAGCTTTGATTAAACAAAGCTCCAACCAATAGTTTGTTTAATTCAAATAAAATTCCAAATATACAATATACAAAATTTTTGAAATTCGAAATAGAAATAAAACGAAATTTTTGAAGACAAATAAAAGAGAAAAAAAACAAGAACCGAAAACAATATGTGCGAACCAGTCACAATATTCTCCGTCCGTTGTTTTTTTTTACTATGAAAATAAACATAATTATAAAATTATACAAAATCAAACACTAATAATTGATGAAAACGACATTTTATTTTATTATTTGTTCTTAATTTAATTTTTTCAATTAATATAAAATATTGAATGTATTAAAATGGAAAAAATTAAAATTTTTAAATAAATTAAAGAGAAATTAATATTTTAACAAAATACAAAACCAAAAAGATCTCAAAAGAAATGAAAATCAAAATTAAAAACTTAATATTCGCTAATAAAAATAAAAAATAAGAATTAAAAGTTCTCTAATGATCTAGTATAAAGAATTCAAAACAGCTAGCAAAAAATGTTTACTGTTAATTTATAAATTTTTTTAAAATTATTTTTAAATAAGAACTTGTTTCCATGCTTAATAATTTCTATTTCGGTTAAATGTTTAAAGGTCTAATAATGATAAATTATTAAAACAAGCGAAATCTCCAATTTATTGGTAATTAAATATTTAATCAACGCCTGAATTAAAAATTTAAATAGACAAGTAATATTTACATGTAAATTAAAGATAATTAAAATAATTAAAATTATTTAAATACTTATTTTAGATTTATATTTTACATTTATGATTCCAAATACTTATATATATCACGTTGATATTTTGATTTTCATTTTTTAAGGGAAACGGTTTAATCGCAAACAAAAAAATAAATAAAAAACAAAATAGAGTATAACATTTAAGAGTGTATAAAATTATTAAAATTGAAATTAGTAATTTTAGTTACAGATAGTAAAAATAACTAGAAAATTAATGTCAATGTATGTTTCATAAAGAGTGGCCAAACAATTATTAACTACTATTTTATAAATGTATAATAAGTAAAATATAAAAAAATAAAAAAACCATTTTAAAATCTAATTTAATCATCATAAATTATTAAATGTTCAGCTAAGATGTTCATTATATTATATTGTACTATGTATATTTAAATTATATTTTAAACATTAGAAATATTCATACTAAAAGATATTTTAATAGTTCAACTTTAGATGTGATAATTCGAATAAAAATTAGAAAAATTTTAAATGTTATTTATATTTTAAACTATATATGTATTATATACAATAATGAAAATAAAAAAACATATTTATTTAAAAAATTATTATGATAAAAAATTATTGGAAACACTTATAAAATTGAATTTCTTGAAATTTAACACCAATGTTGTATTATTTTCATTGATGAATATTTAAAAATATTTTAATAGATAAATTTACACAACCTTTGTTTTCCGAATTTATGGGAATATGGAAATATAATAATAACTTCGCTTTTTAAATTCAATTTCTTTATAATTGAATTGATTTTTTTTTTTTCAAAAATTAAAAGATGCTTTCTTTATTTATTCAACTAATTAATTGTAGTTAATAAAATCATTTTGAATAATATTTGCTTTCTCATGTCAGTATTATGTGGTATACTACATTTTCATAACTACTAGTAAAAAAAATTAAATTGAGCAGTAATTATAATAATGTTTGATTATTTTTTTGCAAAGCAAAATATTTAAATTTTTCTCCGAATATTAAAAAAACAATTATTATTAGGAGATAAGAAGGGTAAACCTAAAAGTTCAAATAATAGAAAAATAAACACAAATTTTAATAAGCAATTAATTTAATTATTATTTTAAGAGTCCAGAATTTGTATGTACGAAAATTATTAATAATCCACAATTATACATAGGTATATAAATAATTAATATACATAACGTTAACAAAAATTTATAAAAGCTGTGAAAAAAGTGAGATTTACAAGAAAAGCACTTGGAGAATCTTGATTTCAATTTGAAACGATTCTGAAATTTTATATTTCTTAACTGATTATGCTGGAAATATATAAAAAAATGTTATTCAAAATATTCAACCATATTCAAATGAACAAATTTAATTTCATGCGAACTATCTAGCATAAACTTGAATGCAGATATTATAATATGAATAGCAAAAATATAAAATATACATAATAAAAAACAGAAAATTCTTTATAAATTATAACTTATAAGGAATAACATGTAATTTTACTAAAAATATTAGTTAAATTTCTATAATAAATAGACTCAAGTATATTTAATTCTTATTTCAAATCCTCAGAAAACTAAGCTTTTGTTCCTCAGCAGAAATAGCTCTAATATTGTATTGAGAGATTGAGCATTTGCATATGTACATAAGCACATTTAGTTCCGTGTACATTACTTACTTACGTATTTTTTAGTAACGTCATAAAACGAATATTTTTAGATGATTCCAAAGTTCCATAAATTTGTGAATTAACAACGATTTTTACAGAATAAAATAAAACGTATACATTCCTGATATATAATTTAAAATAAGGCTAAAGCTAAAAATTATAATCATATTTCTTTGAATAGAAAGTGCATCATCGTATGTATACTATTTTCTTCGTAATCCTTTAGTTTTAATTTGAACGAAATTAATATGTATGTTTTCATTTTTTAATTATGTGAAAAAAAACAAACATGAATTAGAATAGAATACTAGAAAAATATACTTATGAATGTGCAATAGTTTATAAATTGTTAAAAATTTTTGTTTATGTACTCATATACGTATGTGCATACATTGTGTACTTTAATTTGTAATAATAAATATATATATTTATATATATATATATATACATACTATTGTATAAAAATAATATGTAGATAACTTATAAAAATTTAAAAATCAAACTAAACTCAATGTACTTAAAAATATTAAAAAATTGAATTATTATAAAATTTTATAATGTGCATTTTAAATTTAATTTAATTTATTAACAACTTTTCAAAACCACTTGACTCGAATCCATATCTTTCGACACATGCAAATTTATTATTGTTAAGCTTTTGTAATTTGCGTACATATTATGTACATATTAGCCTTATGGAATACTTGGCAATATGTACATAATTACTCATTAAAACAATACGGAACTGAATGTATTTTTAAACACTTTTAATGGTTTTAAATACTTTTGGTGGTAATTTAAAATTTATAAAGAAATTAATACTTTTATTAATTTAAATTTTTTTATTAAAGTACTTATTTACTATACACTAAAGCTATTCCAGTGAAGTCAATCTAATAAAGCAATGTCTGTACAGCCTACAGTATACATACGTAATAAATGAACACCACATAATACATTATGGTTTAAATACAAAAGTATTAAGAACGAAATAAATGTAATTAAATTAATAAATGCTTGCACATTCAAATTTGGGAAAAAATTCAGGAAAAAAGAAAGATTTGGAAAAATTTACTATATGTATATTAATTAAACTAAAAAATATTTATATCTAAATCGTTTTTATTTTAAATTCTCTTAAGCCAATACCTAAGTACGAACAAAATTAAATACATAGTCTTATTATTTTATGTAATAGCTAATTAATAAACATTTTCAATTATTGAATTTTTAAAAATCGGACTGATGCCAAGTTATATTTCCAGCTAAACAGCCAGTAACAAGTAAGGGATATTTTGGGTTAAATCTAGAACTAACAACAATGTCCTTATGAGTTGAAATTTTGTTTATTTCCTTAAGCAGTTGAGGTCTCTTGTACGCACTGCATGATACGGCTGTTGGTAAATCGGAACAGTCATCATTAAATGCTAATAATCTAACCCCATTTTCGTATGGCGAACATATAATTCTACCATCTGCTGAAAATGCTTGCTCCTTAATAAAACCTTGTCCTTTGGTTGGCTCTTCAATATAATACATTAATCGTTTATGATTAATATATATTTTGCGATTTGCGTTGCTATTTATAAAACTTATTGCTGGACATATTAAATTACTGGAACTCGTCAAAGGGCTTGTGTTTTGCGAATTATTTTCATTAATATTATTTCTACTAGTGCTTGAACCATGCAGAAATTGTAAATTATCATATGTTAAATTGATATCTTCACTATCTTCGTCATCATCATCTTCATCATCCTCATCGTCTAAATCATCGTCATCATCGTCGTCATCGTTATTGGAAGGTGTGCGAGAGGATAAAGAAATTCTCATATTTGTCCTATCAAATAGATTTAGTTCCGCAGTTGATCTGCTAAGAGGTATCACACCGCTACTAATAGGGTAAACATAAGCATAAGCATGAGCGCCAGAGTTACGTACACCTAAAGAAGTTCGAAAAGCTCGGTCATGCACTGTTACTTCGGCAGCCCAAATATCTGACCCATATGTTTCAGTTCGGTTAGACCCATTTACTGACATATTTCGATTGGCATTTTCATTATTTCTGTTTTCTGTTGATCCATTTCTTGTTATACTAGCACTTGCCATGGCTAAAAGTGGCGTTGATCTTGTTCCAATATTACTATTTGAGGTATTATTATTAGCACAAGTAGTTGGACGGTCATTACTATTCCCAACTGTACTACTTCTTTCCGTTTCACTTAATTTGCGTTTTTTCACAGGAAGATGAGACTCGTTTTCTTTATATACTTCACGTTCTGCGGTTGCACACTCCTGGATATCATGCAAACAGGTCCATTCCGAACTTTGATCATAACTAATGTTACGTGAGAGACAGCACCACCCTTGTGGATGAATCTAATAGTAATTAATAAAGAAAAAATATGTATGTATTATTAAAATTTCAAATCAGGTATACATTTATACAATATCAATGAAACATTTAGGCAGCAGGGTAAAAGCACCAATGCTCAGTCTCTTAAGGAGTTTTCATTATCAATTTTTATAGTAAATATATTGTTAACAATTTTTGTAATACCCTAGACAGCTTTACTGACAGCCAAGCGTTGAGAAAAACTGTATTTCGATTACGACTATTTGTCGAAAGTCGAATGGCCGTTAAACGAGGTATTTTAAAAAAAAAAATTATTCATACACATACACGTATGCATAAATGCTACATAACGTATGCTTTTTAATATTAAATATATTAAACTGACTGAAAAGTGCTTAGACCGAAAATTAGAAATTAAAATTTTTCCATGCCTTTTAGTGCTAAGCAAACTAAACTATGTAATTTTAGTTCATAGATAATCCTATTATTTTTTTTTCATAAAATTTGCATTTTTTTTTTAATTTCAACATATATAAAAAACCGTATTGTCCTTACCTTTAATAATAAAATTATAACAAACAGACTTAAAATTAAAAACAGTTTGCACTAAAAAAATTGTCAAAAAAGTGCACTGCGAACCTTCAAATAGTTCGAATTTTAAACGCAATAATATATCAATTTACAAATTTCGATTGCTTTTAAAATTAAAGTGAAAAAACCCAGAAATATTTTAAGAAAAAACAAAATATTCTAAAAATGAAACATATTCTTATTTCCAATCGTTTTTGTTTGACCGAATATTGAGTATTGCTGAAGCTACTTGATTTTACCCTTATTATTATAAAAACAATATTTTTGTAAATTCCGTTACCTGAAGCGCACAAACAATTTCTGCATCATTTTTTTCGGGAAAATCACTGACTAGTTCAACACGATTACGCTTTTGTTCCTTTGAGAATATATTGTCAAACTTCGCAGCATTTGGAATAAATTGTCTACCTAATTGCATTAACCTATATATATTTGGCTGAAAATGCAAAACGATATAGAAAAAATTTCGTTTTCAATTTTAAACCTTACCTTGAAGCCATTTAAATCTTTTGCCAGAGTTGCTAAATTTAGATCATGTATTATAATGAGATAGCCTCCTGTTGTACATATGATTAATTTTTTTGCATCCGGTGTTAGTCGACAGCGCATTAAACCGGAAGTATGAAACACTTTTTGGTATATACAACTTTGTTCTGTATATGAACTTATGTCCCACGTATAAATACTGCCATCAAAACCAGATGTAACAAGAAGATTATCAATATGAGAATATTCTATATTTTTAACCCAATTTGAATGACCCTGTAAGCTTCGAACTTTACTATTTAAATTTCTTACATCCCAAATTGCCACTGTAGTATCATCCGAGCAAGTTGCAAAAGTTCTATTATCCAAAAATCTGTGAAATATTTATGTGGTTTACTGATATATTTTTTGAAAAATATAAAACATACTTTACGCAATTTACATTGTCTGTATGGGCATTTACAATTGCCTTTGTTTGTTTTGTAGTTGTGGAATCATACAACACAATAGATTTTTTTTCGCAAGCTGCAACCAATATATTTCTAAAATTTTAAATATTTTAGTAGTTCATAAAGTAACAAAGGTGATATTTAAAACATATATAACAAAAGAGCATTTTCAGAGCAATATGCATTTTTTTTACGACATATAAATCCTATCCTTTTAAATAATGCTTTATTTATTAGTATGTAATTAAAAACAGGTTATTAAATTTATTATTTAAGACCATCAAATGATGACACGCATTGAAAATTAATATTAGAAAACAGAGAAAATTGAAGGTGAATTATTTTAATTTAGACTACTAATTTGAACTAATAAATTTAAATTCTTAAACATTGATTTTTATATTATTAGTAAAAGATTAAATTATTGTTCATATGAATATTAAACGACATCTTTTTCTCTACATTTTAGTAAAAAAACTTTAATTTTTTGTATTTTTCTTTTTTTGTTATTGTTTTTGTAAGATAGAAATAGATATTATTGCATACCCATCTGGAGAAAATTCTAAATTGAAAACAGCACCAAAATCCGATGTGTTTTTTATTGAAGAATATTCTTCATTCCAGTAATTCCAAGGTTTCAAAGATTTGTAAATCAATTTCAAAATAAAATCTTCATCACCAATTTTTGGTTTAAAACCATTTTCTCGTCTTGTTACCCAATTGTAAAAAGTCATCACAATCTTTTGTTATATCAGAATCAGTTATTTTAAAAGACTTTCTTTCTACTATCAAAAACCAGAAAACAAAATGTTTTATTTTTAAAATTATTAAACAATCGATATATTTATTATCTCAAAAAGAGTCTAATCAACCTGTTCGTATTCAATTTATATCCTTCATAAGAACAACCGAGTCCGAGAACAACTTGACAATTCAAACTTCAAATGCACAAAGTGTGTAGCATTGCCGCAATTATGCGGTCATTTAATATTTAACAAATGCTTAAAAATAAGGGTTGATGTCCGAATTTGAAAAATAATAGGATACATTCTGTCCAAACTTTCAAATTGTCTCAAAACAAAGTTTTATTACAATTTATACACCACACTAATAAAAATTTTATTATACCCAAACAATACAATTAAATGCAAACTATAATGTTTTGAAAATTTAAGTAAAATATACCTAAAATTGTTGATGCATGATTTGCTTTATTATTGCTTCTATTTGACGTTTGCTAAACATTTTGGATTAGTTGACATTGAAAAATTTTTCAGTTTACAATTTGGATATAGAACTTGCAAAATTTGATGTCACGTTTACTATTATTTATTACAAGTCCTAAATTATTACGAACGAGCGGATGTGTCAACGAAATAAATTAAATTTTGAAAAACACAAGTAAAGTGAATGAAACCGGTATCAAAAATGAGTTGAAAAATTGCCGTTAAAAATTGAAATTGGTAAAATCAAAAATAAATTTTTAAAAAAGGTTTACCAGGAATAGCCATTTTTTTATGTTTTATTTAAAATGTTTGAGATATAATATGAATCTGATGTGCAGATTTTGATCAAATTTTATCGTAGATTCCGTCTGATGCGTAATTGCGGACGATTTGCGTTAACTTAGAACAGAGGAACGGAAAAAAATCGTCGAAATTTGCGGCGGTAATTTCGCTTGATTCTGGGCAGTACCATTTAAATATGTGTATTCTAAACGAATTCTGACATTTCACCGCGGAAAATTGCTCTTATTCTGTTTTTAACTTAAAGGTCAAAGCAATGTAATAAAATTGTTGATGTGTATTACCAATCTTTTGTAATATGCAAACATATTTTACGTTTTACACATTTTGTATGTGTTTAAAATATAAGTAAATGTAGCGTAGCACTCAAAGCAATAACCTTATAATCACAAAAATTTAATTTTTATATATTATTTAAGTGCCTACATTATATTTTATGAATGAAATAGTAAATAAAACTCAAAAAAAAAAAGTACTAAAATTGGTTCTCTTTTTACATTTTGGCTGGTCCCGTTGGTTTTAAAATACTATTTCTGAGTTTGATAGCTGTTATTTCTTGTCCATAAATACATTCTAAGCATAGTATATGTATTATAAATATAATAACTTTTTTACGTACAGCATTGTACGTGACAGCGTTCCCATATTTCCAGATTTATTTGATTTTTCAAATTTCAAAAATCACCAGATTTCTTATCCAGAATGTCACGTTTTTAGCATCACCAGACATTAAAAACTTTAAATGTAAGAGTATTCACATTTTTAAATTTCATGTTTTGGGGATTATTGTTACTCAAAACCGAAAATGGAAACACACAATTAACAGACACATTAAATGCAATATTATTATGTAAAGGTTTAAAAATAAATGCAAGTACCTATTGTTTATAATTAATAAAATTATGTTAAATAAATTACATTAAAAAATTTATAAAAATAAAAAGTTAACTGACAAATTCATTCCGAACATTATATTAGGCATTTTTGAGAATAAATTGATTTGATTTTTGTTTAAATTTAGTTCTTAATAAGAGAGCTTTTTGAAAAATATAAACGATACTTTTTTAAAAATAAAATGTAAATTATTTTATTAAATTTTGTTGTTTTGTTCTGATTTAGCCTAAATGACAATTAAAATGTAGTAAAATTAAAATGTTAGTTTGTTTTTTTATCTCCTTAAAATTTAATCATAAATGCGAGTATTTTTTTTATGCTGACAAAAATACAGATTTTTTATAATGTCAAGGTATATTTATACCTATAGCTATATTTATTATATTTTTTTCTATACAAGAAAATATATATGTATGTGGGTGCTAGCGTTACCATATTGGTTTCACATAAAATTTGGAAAAATCTGAAAAATCGGATACTACATAATGTCATTTGGTATCTTAGCGCCTACATAATGTCATGATTGTCATTTTAATATCCATATTATTTTTATTATGTGTATAGAACGTAGGTATTAGGTTAGGGCGTTCGTGTATTAGCCATCTAACTAATGTTTTGATAAATTTTATATTGGAAACTTAAAAATAAAGTTATAATTAACATACTACTAATTTTTATTTTATACTAATTTATTAAATTATTGATTTTTGTATAGCAAAATTTGGCGACTTTGCTATATTTCTACAATAAATAATCGAAGTTAATTTGAGTAGTTGTATTTTGTAAATACATTCTAAGTTAAATGTTAAAGGGTTAAACTTGTTAATTTTATAAAGACTAGATCAAGAAGTTTTAAACAGTTTTCATGACAATGGCCACGCCTCCGTTGCAATTTGTTTTATTAGCAGAATGTTCGACTAGTAAAGCAAGAGCAGGTGTTATGAGCTTGCGTCATGGACCAGTTAATACACCGGTTTTTATGCCTGTCGGTACACAAGGTACTCTAAAAGGTATGTTGTCAGACCAGTTATTAGCACTTAATTGTCAAATTATTTTGGGTAACACTTATCACTTGGGTATGAGACCTGGAACAGATGTTTTAAAATCTTGTGGAGGCTTGCATAATTTTATGAACTGGCCTAGGTAGGGCATAGAGCTAAGTCATGTTTACACAAATTATATACATAATACATAATTTTCAGATCAATTCTTACAGACTCTGGAGGCTTTCAAATGGTGTCTCTACTAAAATTAGCTGAAATTAATGAAGAAGGTGTAAAATTCAAATCTCCTTATGACGATACTGAATGTATGTTAACTCCAGAGCATTCCATTGAAATACAAAATACAATTGGAGCGGATATTATAATGCAATTAGATGATGTTGTAAAAACTACAATATCAGGGCCAAGAGTGGTAGAAGCAACAGATAGAACTATTCGATGGTTAGATAGATGTTTAAAAGCTCATAAACGCGACCAGGACCAAAGCATATTCCCTATAATACAAGGCGGCTTAGATTTAAAGCTACGCGAGAAATGCGCCAAAGAAATGATTAACAAAAATGTAAGAGCTTTTGCTGTAGGGGGACTCAGTGGAGGAGAGAGTAAAAACGATTTTTGGAAAACTGTTCACATTTGCACGAATATTTTGCCTAAAGATAAACCAAGATATCTTATGGGTGTAGGTTTTGCTGCAGATTTAGTGGTATGCGTTGCATTAGGGATCGATATGTTCGATTGCGTTTTTCCAACAAGAACTGCAAGATTTGGCTGTGCTTTGATTTATTCAGGACAGTTAAATCTAAAGCATAAAAAATATGCCCTGGATCATAAACCGATCGATGCAGATTGCAAATGTAGTACCTGTAAAACATATACAAGATCATATCTACATCATATTGTTACAGTTGAACCAGTAGCATGCAGGTAAAATATTTAGAAAATTTGTTAGGTTTACCAATTATCATAGCTTACATAAATTTTAGTCTTTTATCAATACACAATATTGCTTTTCAATTAAAACTAATGGATGACATGCGAGAAGCCATTAAACAAGATAAATTCCCAGATTTTGTAAAAAAATTTATGTACTTGCATTTTGAAGGACGGGAGATTCCCGGTTGGATTCATGATGCTCTAGCGGCTGTCAACATAGTCCTAAAAAGGTAGAACTATGGTTATTTATTATTAAAAATTAAAAATGAATAAAATTTTTCTATTCTATTTTGAATGGAAATTTTTAAAACACCAAAATGAAGTATTGTTACTTTACTTTATTGTTACTTTATCATATAAAAATAAGAAACGAATACATAAAAAAAGGTCTGTCCTAAAATTTAAATATCTTCGGCCTTGCTAACGAAGTGATCAATAACCTCATCAATAGTTAAATTGTTTAACAAATCTTTTATAGTATCGCTTTCAACAACTACATTGAAAAATATTTTTACATATTCTCTCATTCGCGTAATATAATCTATTGAGTTGTCAATGACGTTAATTTTATGTCCACAATTTAATATTACTTTTTGCAAAACCTGGAATTAATAAAACCATTAAAATTACAATAAAAATTTTTTCTTATGTACATACTATTTCAACAGGAGCCTCAGGCCAACCAAACTTGCTAAGTGTCTTCTCGTCCACTAAGAAATTTAACAATTTCGTAATATTGTCTTTAAACTTTTCATCTGCCTCTGATAATTTCGGTTCGGTCAGTTTCAATAAAAATGAATCTTTGTCAATTTCTAATAAAATTTCATCTACTTCTTCTAAATTGATTGATTCTTCTTCTTCATATTTGGTTGGTGATCTATCATTATTAGATACGGTTGTTTCACTTTTTGCAGGAGAAGAATGCATAACTTGCATTGTATTTTGTTCGCGTGAATGTATAGATGGTCCATTAGACTTCACTAAGTTGCTGGAAGTTTCTTCCTCTTGCATTTCGGCATCATGGTTTTCAGGAAGTTCTTCAATTATAAATTCTTCAATAATTTCTCCAGTTTTTTTTGTAACCTTTTCTTTTTTGGATCGCTTTGGAGGTGGTGATGTAACCTTTTTGGATTGTGTACTTCCATTTAACAAGCGTGGTGATGCAGCTTCTTTTTTAATATTTTTAGGGCCTTTTAAATAAAATTAACTCTTTGATTATAGTCTCATATATTTAAATTTAACGTAAATCAAAATTTGTTTGCAAAAAATAACAATGACCTAATACGAAAAGTTAATTTTCATAGAGTTGTACATTTGACGGTACTAAAATTTGATAATTGATAATTTACATACTTTTGAAAGTTAACTAAAACTAATTTGTTAAGGTTGAGTGTGTGTATGAACCATTAAAATAAAACAAAAACAAATTAGAAAATTTACTTAGTAAATTTTTACCTCAAGATATCACTATTATGCACTCAGGTTCATGGACTTGCATTTAATTAAAAATTTTACTTATATAATTAACATATTTTATTACAAAATATTAAAAAAATAAATGAACTACAATTACCTGGATGTTTTTTAAGGCTATGACGCTTTAATCCAGTTTGAGTTGGAAAACTTTCAAAACAAATGTTGCATTGGTTCATATCTATTACTGGAATCAATTCTTCTTCACTTCCATCATCTTCATTGTCAGAATGGGTAAGTTTATGGAAATTGAAAACTTTTTCATCGTCAAATGTTTCCTTACATTTACTACACGAAAATTGTTCCTCTGAAAACAAAAGGTTTGAAATACATATGTACATATACAAATATATTAAATTTTATTTTCTAAGTAGTAAATACCTTTATGACATCTAGTGAAATGAGTTCTTAACCCAGCTTTACTTTTGAATGAATAAGTGCATATTGTACAATTGAATTGCTGAGCTGCTAAAGAATGTTCGTTGATTAAATGTTTTGATAATCTAAAATTATATGAACTAAAATATCTTCAAAAAAAAAATCTGTGTTTGTGTTACTTAGATTTTCTGTTAAAACTTTGATTACACAAAGCACATTCGAATCCTTTTGATTTGGATGTGTCGTGGTTCTTCATATGATTTCTTAGTTGAGTTGCTTGAATAAAACTTTTTTTACATATTTCACATGAATGAGGCTTTTCTCCAGTATGAGTTTTCATGTGTCTATTTAAGACTTCTTTGGCAGCAAATGCTCGTTCGCACTTTATGAAATTCCCAATATAAAATTACAATTATAAATATCTTAAAAATCTTAATATCTTCTTACATATTAATATCTTAATATGCAGAATTAAAATATTTTCTAGTTAAAACAAAACTTTTTTTACCAAAGCGCATTGATAAGGTTTTTCTCCTGTGTGGTATCGTCTATGTTTTCTTAAAGCTGCGTTTGAAGGAAAGAATCTGAAACAAGTCATATGAAAAATTAATTTAAAACTAAAAAAGATAAATTTAAGGCATTTGGGCAAAGTTTACTTACTTTTCACATAAATCACACGCAAAAGGACGTTCTCCAGTATGGGTTCTTATATGAATACTGCAAATATGACATAAATAAAAATTAAAATTTTATTAATATATTAAAAATACTTTAAAGTTGAAGTTCCACAAAAACTTTTTTCACAATAAGGGCATGGATAGTCTCTATTGTTTTTTTCTTCACCCAGATGTGCTCTAAGATGATTTCTTAAGTTATCTACTCTATGAAAAACTTTGCTACATACGTTACAAACAAATTCTTCAGCAGTTTTTGTATCACAACCTGAGTACTTAATATGTCTTTTTAAATGATAAAGACGAGTAAATTCGTTTCCTATTTGTGTTTTGTAATACATACATTGAATATTGAGAGTTGCAATACAATACAATAAAATAAAAAGAAAATAAATCGTTTTAAAACTTACCACACTTCTTACAAGCGAAAGGTTTTCCGCGATTTTTGTGATGCTCTTCATGTAATTTTAAAATTTTTTCCGAAGGACATTTTGCATTACACGTTCCGCACGGATGTTTGTCTGAATTCGAATGAATCAAAAAAACATGCCTTTCATAGCTTTTAGCATTTCGAAAAGATTTTGGACATTCGGGACATCTAATATGTCCACTCTATAAAAATAGAACATGTAAATACATACTCATTCTTCAGGTATTTTAAATAACACTACTGAGTAAGGTTAATATACTTACATGGCATGTTTCAAAGCTGTCCCCACAACAATAACACAAATTATCAAATTGCATTTTAGCACTTTCTTCTTCTATTTCTTTTAAATTTTCCCACATTTGTCGAATTGATTCACTACAGAATGTTAAATGCTTTTTCAAGATCTGTTTTATAAAGGTCAAAAAAGAAATAAGTTTATATGAAGATTACAATTCTATGTTTCAAATTAATAACTTATTTTTTTTACATTGAAAACCACTTCTGGCGACATATCCATTTTGTTTTTTTTATTTTATTGAATTCGTGGTGAAGGATAAATAAACCAAAAGCAAAAAAATCAATATTACTACAGTGGCTCTCTTATTTAAAATGGTCAATAATGTTCAAACGTGAACATCAACAACTGATTGACAAAAAAAAAAAACAAAAAAAAAAGGTTCAAAGTACTTTTTAACAGGATACAAATGAATCAGGACCAAACTTTTGTCGTCTCTTTCCGTCCAATGCACAGGGGCATTTAAATACTTCGAAAGACAAAATGTTACATATTAAGAAATTAAGATATTTCTCTAGTACTTATATACATATAGAAAATTTAATCAAACAGCAAAAGTACATATATAACAAATTAGCCACAATAATTTGGAATTAGAATTTTTAATAAAACAATTTTGGAAACTTACATTTACATCAGTAAATTGTTTATCACACTTCGCACAAACATGAATAAAAACTTCCCCTTCCAACTCTTCATCAGCTATTTCATACGTTTCAACAGCATCATCGTCTTTTTCATCTCTCTCATCGTTATCTTCATCTTCTGCTTCTTCTTCATAGTCTTCATCATCTTCAGAATCTAGCTCCTTTTTGGTTTTTATAGTATATGTACCTTTTGTTTCATTATACTCTATTTCATCTATTACTTCAAAATCGACATTTTCTTTGTCTTGCGCAACTTCATTGCCTTCCGACTTAACAAGTTCCCTTTTTCTTGTTCTTGTTGAAGACATAACTGAGAAAATATATTTTAATAGTTTCGCCTATTTGTATGCATTAGAAAATGTTGTTTAGAAAAAGTAGATTCAAGATCCTGCTTATTGCAAATTAAAAAAGATGGTTCTAAAACAAAACAAAAAAGTAAGATTAATAAAGCATTCTAAGATGTATTTTCGACTTGGACAAAAAAAAAATCAGATTAGATGGTTTAATGTTACATATAATTATGTACTTCTATTCCATATTTGCAAAATATCAATTGCATTGCGCAGCTATACATAGTTTATTGAAATTCTCAATTTGACGTTTAATTTTTTAAATAATGTATCCGAGAAATGCAACAAATGCAAGAAATATTTAGAAACCAAGCAAAGTAAATCATTATAAAACCCACTTCTGTTTTAAAAATAATGAGGGTAAAAGTATTGCTTTAAAAGCGCCAGCTTGGGATATGCTATTTTCTACACAAAAATAAATCTGAATATATGCAATTATTTACCTTTACTTACTTATTTACCTATTCTGTTTTAAAATTTTAAAAACTAATAACACCTTCATAAAAATATTTTAGCAAATTTCAACAAAACTTATTTTATTATAAAAAAAAAATCCTATAATTGTTTATTGGAAGCCATTTATATTGAAAATTTTCTATGGTAAATTTATACGTACCAGAAGCCTAACGCCTGTTGGACGCTTTCACCAGTTTTTTTTAATTTTATTTTGCTTAATATTGGAAAACGTATTAAAAAAATATAATATTCTAATTATAAAATATGGAATTTTAGTTGAAATAATTATAAATTATCAATAATTCCTGAAAAATACTCTTGCGCCGAATAAGTCAGCTAAACCACGTAAAATGTAAGCAAAAAATATATTCAGTCGGATTTTAAGAATCAAGAAAAAGAGTTGCCGTCTTCAAATAAATGTCAAAATTTTATGGGAATTATTTTTAAAGGGACATTTTTTGAAAGTTAGAAAAAAATTCGCAAAGGTACGGACTAAAGAAAGATGAACGAAAAGATCGCAGCCGCAACTCGTTTGTGATTCTAAAATTGATATGATCGTATAGTACAATCAAAATATAAATAATTTTGATTAATGTCGTATTTAATTAAATTAAAATTCGTATTGAAGACTTAAATTGCAATTTAAATTTTGCAATTTCGTTAAAAAATAAAAAATTGAGTGAAAAGGATAAAAACAAGAAAAATCGCCGCAGTAGAAATTTATATAGTATCGTAATGTAGTTGAATATGTATTTGAAAAATTAGGGTACAGCCAGAAAAAGCAAAAGTATCAAACAAGCAACAATATCAGACTGTGTAAATAATGGCTTTTTGTATGCACACGGTCGAGAAACTTCGAATAAATACATACAATATGGAGATCAATTGAAATTAAAACAATAAATTAATTTCTACAAAACAATAAACAAAATGTATCTGGTTAAAATTTTATGTATGTATGTTTATTCACTGCCGAAAACTGTCGTTATACATATTTATAATAACCCTATTGTGAGGGGTTTGTATACACTATGCAACTTTCATAATGCATTTAATACGCTTTGAAAAAGATTTTATGGTTGATCGATTTTATAACCCATGCAAATATGTACGTACATTAGTGTACACTTCTTCAAATTTAATATAAATTCAGCGTATTAAATGCGTTATGAAAGTGTATACAAACCTATATTTCTAGCCAAAAGCCTAAGTATATGCAAGAATATACAAATAAGTATATCTTTTTTATTTTATTCAGCAGTTATAACCATTATTTTATGTAGCTATGGAAATATAGATTTTATAGATTGGCACAAACAATCGCAAGAAATCTAAAAAGTTTTCTAGTTTCCAAATTCATTGAAAATTCATCTAGAAAAATTAAATGATTTAACTAAAATTTGATTGCATACTATAATTATACAATATAGAAATTATATTTACAGAAATTATGTTTAGAGGTTTCCTTTGATTTACATTTAAATTCAAATTATATTAACATGGCAGAAGAACAAGCTATTGAGCCTGCTGTTATCAAGAAAACACAAGAAATATTAGGAAAATATGTGAAAAAACCCCCTCTAACCGAAAAACTTCTCAAGAAGCCACCATTTCGTTTTTTGCAAGATATTGTGATTTCCGTAAGTATAGAATTTTTTAAATTTCGCATTTAATTTGCACTAAGCACCACTTCTTTGAGAGAGAAAATCAAAAAATAATGCTTACGTGTACATATGAACGTAATTTCCTTATTCATATACATGGCGTTTTAGGTAATTAAAGAAACAGGATGTTTGCAAGGTCTTTACAGTAAAACAGAGCTTTCTTCAGAAGGAATCACAGATCGGAATGCTAAAATTGCATTCCTTCAAAAACTAATAGATGTTTTAAGTAATGAACATTTACATAAATATTTTCTTTTTGTTATTTAATTAACGTGTCTATACAAATATATGTATTTTAGAAATGGTTTCAAACGAGAACATTACTGCTAGACCGTCAAAAATAGTTGCAGGTCATGAAGCATCAAAAACCAACGAAATGTTACAAATATTGGGAATTTGTTTAGATAAAAAATTTGATTTTAAGCCTGCAATTGAAAAAGTAAATGCAGTTAAAAAAAAAGACGAATCAAAAAAAACTCCTGATTCTAAGGAAATCAGAGAAAAAAAGGTAAATGAACCAAAACCTACCAGTAAAATCAAACAAATTTCTAAAAACGGAGCAGATAATAAAGCTCAAAGCACTTCGAAAAACAACAATAAAGAAAAACCGAAATCAACTCCGCTTAAAAAGGAGAAGGATAAATTCAAAGAAAAAGAAAAAACGAAGCAAGCAAAAGATAGCAAAATTTCTACATCAAAAGGATCATTTGATATATCAGAAGCAAAACAACTTCAGCATATTCAAGAACTAGAAACTATAGACAATTTAAAAGAGTCACAATCAACTACTAGCAAAAACGACAATGAGTCATTCGAAAAAAGTTCATCAAATAAAGTGCCTGACCAAAAAAAAGAAATGAATTTGTCTCCTGCAAAACAGGAAATTAATACAAAACTAATTTCAAACGAAACTGTAGAAACAACACCAAAAACGAAAAGAATTATTAGTGCAAACAAGCAAAATCTGGAAACTGAAGGAATATCGAACGAAAACTCGCTCGATAATAGTCATGCTGATAAAGCAGATAAGCAAACTGATAAAACGAATTTAGATTTAGCTATAAATGACAAAGCTGAAAAATCTCCAAAAAACCTTAAATCTAAAGAAAATAGAAAATCATCTGGTACACAACAAGCACAAAATTCAAGTAAAACTGATTTTATATCAACTTTCAATGAATCCACTTTACCTAAGGAAAAGGACCTATCTGTTGAAATACAAGAAAAAAATCATCAAAAAATAAATGAAAACAGTGAAAAAATGAATATTCAGAAAATTAAAAACAATAACTCTCAAAACGAAGTGACGACTGTAACAAGGCAATCAACTTTTACAAGAGAAGAATCTAAAGATTCAAATGGAAGACCAAGAACATCTCTCAGACCTCCAAGTGTCAGACCACCATCAGCTAGACCTGGTGCTCCTAAAAGGAGAGACAAAAATATAGAAATAGTTTTGCAACCAAATGACCAAATAAAATTAGCAGGTATTCAGTTAAAAGTAGAGTCTTTCAACGACGAATTAGATGATGACGGAGAAAATTTAGTTATAATAGAAAATGAAAACGCTAGTTCCACACAAGAAGACAGTAAAAAAATGATGGCAGTAGATGAAGAAGTGAAATTAGATGAAAACTTACAACAGGGACATCTAGTGCAACAAATTTTAGAAACCCAAAAAGAATTGATACAAAATTACGATTTAAAAGAAGCGAAAGATGAGGTGATTATACTAAAAATAATATACATATACTAAAAATAATATTCGAAACCAAACACTGCAAAAGCTAAAAACTTAATCAATAATGCTTAATAAGCAATTTTTATTTGGTTATACTAGATAAAACTTTTACTGTACAATCTTTTTTATTCTGTTATTAAATAACGATTATTTATAACATAATTTTTATTTTTCAACTATTCATATTAATTATCAAGACAATTTTATTTTAAAATGATAAAAATAAAACTCATAATTTTTTTTTTATCTAATAAAACAAAAAATAAATATTGTCTTCTAAGCATTATTAATTGATTACTAATTTTTTTTAAATAAAGCTTATTGTGTCAGTTGAAAACTGGTATGCCAAAGTACAAAAAAGTAAATGTCGTTATTGAATTTTTCAATTTAATAGGAGCTAGATGTAACTACAATTCAAAAAAGACAAAGTTCCGCAAAGCAAATGAATTCTTTAAGAGATATTATTCAAAATCTAACTAGATCAATTAATCCACTTGGTAAATTAATGGATTTTATTCCTGAAGATATGGATGCTATGCAACTGGAGATGAATATGTGGCGTGATTTATACTCGCAAACCTCTGCTGAATTGAAAAAAGAAAAAAGGTAACAGCAATATTATAAATTTAAGCATGATGATAATAACATTATGTATTTAATATTTTTGTTTTAAATCATATTTCAGTTTAACAGAATCAGCTATTGAACCAATGAAAAGTCAGTTAGAACAAATTAATGGATCTATAAAGGAATACAATGAAATGATAGATGAATGTAGAGCTAGAATATTGCAAAATTCTGAAAAAATTTATAATTTGTTGACGGAATATTAGTTTGGAATATTTTTTTTTTATAAAAAATTTACTTTATTTTTTGATGCTTTCGCCATAATAAATAAAGTCACTTAACTGCTCGACCACAATGATAACGAATGATATGAAAGATGAAAAATACGAGCACTGATTTTTTATTCTAATTTTAAAATAAAGAACATATGTAAGTACATATACATATGTATGTATGAAGCAAAATTAAAAGCATTAGTACATTTTACATATTTTCAAATTTATTGCACCAAATTAAAGTGTTATAACTTGAAGAAAAGAAGTTTCAGTTAAAGCTATGATGTCATATGTTTTAAAGTTAATTTAATGTAATATTTCTAATGTAAGGAGTCTGATGTCTTAATAAATGAATTGTTAACTATTTAATCTTAAATTTTCTTTGTATGTCAAAAATTTATAGTTTAAGGTATTGAGAAGCTGATTGAGTTTACAACACATGTATATGTATATATTTCCAGACACATAAAATTTGTTAAACAAAGGATAATTTATAAGTACTAAGTTCATGTATTCTTTCAAATATGTATACTTTTAATGGTTATCCTTTTTTAGAATTGACAAAAGAATAAAAAGAGGGTTTGATAAATAAACTTCCTCTTATTAATAATAATAACCTTCTTCTTCTTATAAATGTAATTGCGACTACAGTGAGGTTTCATTGTGCTTTCCTTAATTCTTAATTACGAATCTAAGCAGCCCTTGTCTGCTATTGTTTAGTGCTAATTGTAATTAATAATTGGTAAAAAATTTTATAAAAAACACAATAGCTACATAGACTTTGCTTTCAAATTAAAAACATTACTCGTCATTAAATAATTAGAATTTTGGTTTTAAAAATATTTTTAAAATGAATATGTAAAAACTTTTTTAGTAAAGATATTTTTGCTTAAACATTTTTTTTTTAATTTTAATATAAAAACTATAATCAAATACATAAAATCAATTGCATACTATTTCATATTTATAATAGTAAAATTAATTCGTAAAAAAAATTAAATTCATTTGTTGTGAAGCAAAACATTATACATGATGTCAAATGTTGAAATCGAAGAAAATAAAGAAGAATCAGAATTGCAAAATGCCGATATTAGTGCTGAATTTAACAAATTAGAATCACATAAACCTCCTTCAAAAACATGCTCACGTAATTCTCCAGTCGTGGAATTTGATGATAAAAATCAAAATCGTTTAAAAATTGAATATGAAGATTTGATAAACGAAATTGATAATCAAAATAAGGTTTTCAATACACTTAAAATGAATATTGTTGACAAAGCATTAAAACCATGCAAAACAGCTTACGAAAAGAAGGAACTAAGAAATTTACGTTGCATATTAGAACATGAAAATATTAAACTATTATGTCTTCTTCGAAAAGCAATATTAGTACAAGGGGAAGATCCAACCAGAGCTTGGGAGCATATATCATTAGCAACAACTTTTGCCGAGGACAGTATGCCGCTACAATTGACAACTCTGGCTAGGAAAAAAACAACATGTTCGTCAGAAGAAAATTTGAATAGCAAATGTTTTCTTTCCAACAGTCGAAACAAACAGATTTTGTTAAAAAAATTATTCACAGACCTTAAATGTAATAGAGAAATATTCGACGATAAAGCAAACTTAAAAAAGATAGCCAAAATGCTAAAAAATTGTACAAATGATTCTTCCGAAAGAAAAAAACGAAGCAGTAAATTTATTAAAAAACAAAATAAAGAGTTGTATCAATCTGCAAAACATGATTCACATACGGAAGATGAAGATCGTTGCCATTTTGAAAATGAAGCATTACAATCTGATGATGCAATTCACCATTTACAAAATAAAATTGATTTACTTCAAAATGAATTGCAGTTCCTATGCGAAGAAAGAATTATTGCTCTGAAAAATTCTACAGTTAGAAAAGTCGAGGTCAATGAAAATAAAAAACTGCAATCATTAGAGCACAATATTGCTATAGTTGAAAACTGCTTAAGCAAATTGAAACTTGAAATGTGTAATTTGAAAGAGGATCGTAACCAATGCCATGATGCAATTTCAAAAGGTATATTATTGGTTTTATGTATTTACTTTAAATTAAAACTATTGGTAAATGTTTGATTCCAATTCTCAATTTTTCTTGACCTGCACGTTGCTTTGTAAGTATATATGTATGTAATTATGTACAATATTGTAAGTAAGTAAGCAAATATATACATACATCGTGAATATACATACAAAAATCTCTATTAAATACAATGCTTTTTAATAATTAGTTCAATTGAACAATATGTGAGCACTATACTTCCCTAACAATGGTTTTGTTAATTCTAGTAATTATAACTACCCCAATAATTAATTTTGACCAACGTTTTCAAAAGGCTCCCTATACATATTTATTTTTTGATTCTAAAATATTAAAAAAATAATAAATCCATGCAACATCAATTTAAACGTAAATTATATTTTAAAAGGAAAAGACTCAAGTTTTGAAAAAGGTGAAGCCGAAGTAAATTTTCTACAGGAAAAACTTTGCAATTTACAGGCTGAAGCTCAAGAATACAAATATTTAATAAAAGAACAATCGGAACAATTATTGGAGTACCAAAGTAAATATCTAGCTGCACAGCAAAAAGTTCAAGAACAAAAGTGTATGTTAAGTAAACTAGAGATGAATAATAAGAACATTGAAGATCAAATCAATTTGGAAATTCGTCGTATTAAAGAGAAATTTCAAGAAAAATTAAAAGAATATATACATCTCCCAAAATTATTAGAAAATGAACAATTAAAGTTGGCAGCAATTTGTAAAGAAAAAGAAAGTTTGGAATCTAAACTAAGATTAGTATGCAAAGAATTGAAAAATATAAAAGCTTCAACGGTTCATCAAAATGAATTATCAGTTGATAACAAATGTATTATAGAACTAAAAAAACAAATTGAAACTTTTCGTCAAACAATTGACATGCTGCAAGTTCAAAAGAAAATTTTAGTTGAAAAACTTGATAAAACTAAACAAGATCTAGATTTATTAAGAGGAGAATCAACAAAAATCGTTTGCAAAACAAAAGAAAGAGCCGAACAAATTCGTTCTGCTTTACAACAACGTTTGGACTGTGTAGAAAAAGAGTTAGCGCAATGTCGAGCCAACGCTTGTGTATCGATTTCAGATCGTGAAGAAATTATAAAACAATTACAATTGCAATTAGATGCAATAGCATGTAATTTTGAAACTGCTCAAAATCAAATTAGAACATTTAAAAATCAAATAACACATATAACTAATGATTCCATGGAACACGATTAATTCCAAAGGAATTTTTATTTTTAATACTCAAAATTCATATTTTTGGGAGGAAATTAAACAAAATTTTGACTTATCATTAAATCATTACTATGTTAACAATACCATATTCAATTCAAAATTTGTATACATACATATTTCAATTTTTGTAAATTTGTATAGTATAATTAATGTTAAAAAATTCTAATACAGCATGAAAAATTTTCGCCAACTGCTTTGAATTTTTTTTAAATACACGCATGATATAATTTTTATTTTTTAAATTATAATTTAAACCCTAATCCATGTTTTTTATTAAAAAAGGAATAATTTTTTTACAGATTTAGTCCAAAGTAATATTACAAATATCACTTTATAAATATTTAAAATTAACAATAATTTTTTAACTTATTTTATTAATGAAAAACTGACTCTACAAACTGACTAGACTGACTAAACAAGATTGAATAGCGGTAGGAGGAAATCAAAGAAACTTGTATTCACTTTTTAAGCAGACAAATTTTATTTCTATGATAATGCTATGCAAATATCCAAAACCTATAGCAAAAACTTAGGGAATTCTTTAGGTTTTTAATATAAAAACGATCCTGAAGCAGCTTTTGAATATAAAATTTTCTAAATGAGCCGAAAAACTTAAATTGTACAATAATAAATAAGTAATCAATAAAATATGGATTGTATCAATATTTATTTTTAATTTTATTTACATATTATTTTGCCTTTAACAATTATACACCATACTTACGTATATTTGAATGAGATATTAATTTAAATACAGAACTTCATATATATTATACAATTCACATACATATGGTACTTAAAATTTATTTCATATTCATATTAAAAAATAATTCTTGTTGAATTAATTTGAGTCATTCGAAAGCCAGTCTTCCTAAATTATAGACTTTTAATTGTTTTATATGAAATTTTTGACGAAATATTAAAAAAGCTAATTAGTTATGGCAATTAAATTATATTTAGTAGTTATTATATTTATACTTTTAAATGTAAAAATAGTTTTTAGTTCTAAATTTGAAGGAGAAACCATAAGTGATATAAACTATCCAAAAGTTCTTATAGTTACATTAGTTCGTAATAAGGGACACACTTTACCTTATTTCTTAAGCTATCTAGAAAATCTTGACTATCCAAAAAAAAATATATCGTTGTGGTAAGTTTCGTTAGAAAATATAGAACAAAATTACAGTTTAAATTTTTTTTGGCATTTTTTTTTTAATCAAATAATTTTTTCAGGATTCGTTCTGATCATAATGAAGACAATACTCTAACAGTTTTAAAAAAATGGCTCAACAGAACTAAAAACTTATATTATGATGTTGATTATTACTTTAAAGAAGAACCCAAATTTTATAAAAATGAAACAGTTCTTTGGCCAAAAGAAAGATTTGAGCATTTAATTAATTTAAAAGAAGAAGCATTAAGCCATAGTCGTCAAAAAAATTGGGCGGATTTTATTTTTGTAATTCTATTTTCCATAAATATTAAATTTAATTTTAGTTTAAATTTTTTTCTCATAAAATTATACCTTAATTAAAAATTTCTGATATCATTTAACCACTTCTTGAGCCTTCAGCGAGTTACGGTCTCACTTTATTTTTAGAAATCAGTAAACTAGACATTAAATTTCAATTAGTTAAAAATTTTTCAAAATGTTATTATTTTAATTAACGCTTACTATTAAAAATTTCTTATCTATTAGAAGGATAAAAATTATTTTAATGCAATCAAACCTTAATTGTAACTAAGTGTAAAAAAATCTAAAAGAACTGAACGTTTAGAATGTATTCTTTTCTTAGTATACAATATTATACAATATTTTGATATAAATTTAACTTAATAAGATTTTTTTTTTAAATTTTAGTACCTAGATGCTGATGTTTTCTTGACGAACCCGTTAACGTTAAAACAATTGGTTCACTTCAATTTACCAGTTGTATCACCAATGTTAAAATCTGAATCGCAATACTCAAATTTTTGGTGTGAAATGGAAGAGAATTACTATTTCAAAGAATCATTTAAATACTCAGTAATTTATAAAGGATATGAAATTGATAATTTTAAAGTCTCAGTTGTACTGAGTGCGATATTAATCAATTTACGCGATCCAACCACTGAATGGTTAACATTTTCTTTAGAAAAACTGCATGAAAACCAAATCAAACACGATCATTATACAGTTAAGTATGATGGACCATTTGATGATGTCATAATTTTCGCAATGTCGTCTAAATATTTTGGTATTGAACAATATATTAGCAATATTTTTGAATATGGTTACATTGTGCAACCATTGCCAGAATATCAAAACCTTAATTACGATATGTTATTGCTTGAGAATATTAAAATACAGATGATATATGAATTAGAAGAAAGTTTAACATTAAATGATGAATTAAAAGAATTTGTTCAATATCCTGAACCGTAAGTATTAAAATTAATTTGATAATTAAATTCTAATTGAAAAATTTTATCTTCTTTATCAGAAACAAGCTTTCTTTTGATCATATATATATGATCAACTTAAATCGTCGTCCAGAAAGAAAACATAAAATGGAGTTGCAATTCAGAGAAATGGGATTAATCGTTGAAAGATTTGAAGCTACTGATGGAAGGTTAGTATTTTTTGTATAATCCCTAGATAAAATTATAAAAATAAATAAAAAATATTTTTTCGTACATATTCAAGAGAAATAAAATTTGATGATCTTGAGTCAATGGGAGTAAAAATTTTACCAAATTATGAAGATCCAATATTACGTCGAAAAATAAAAATTGGCGAAATCGGCTGTTTCTTGAGTCATTATAAAATATGGGAAAAAATTATTGAGTTAGGACAAAAAGAGGTGTTAATCTTTGAAGATGATGTACGATTTTTTCCTTTTTTTCGAACAAAAGCGTTTCATTTAATTGAAGAGGCTAGAAAAACAGCAAATTGGGATATATTGTTAAGTTTTTATATACAATAAGTTTTTTTATGTTATTTTTTGTATTTTACTTTTATTTCTTTTAATAGATATTTGGGACGTAAACCTCTCAATCTTGAAAATGAAAAGTGGGCAAACAGTGACAAAACTCTAATTTATCCAGGATGGACTTATTGGAATTTGGGCTATGCTGTAACTTTAGAATGCGCGAAAAAATTGGTGGCTGCTAAACCTTTAGAAAAAATGCTCCCAGTAGATGAATTTATACCAATAATGTTTGATCAACATCCAAATAATACATGGAAAACATACTTCGAAGATCGCAATTTAGTAGCGTTAAGTGTATATCCCACTATTTTAGAGCCAGGATATTTTTTTAGTGAGGAAAAATATGTATCAGATACGGAAGACTCTATTATTATAGAAGAAGATGATTATCATCACAACTGGAAAATATATAGTGATGAATTATAAAAAAATATTTTTGTACAAGATCAGTTCATATTCTGTTATTTTCTGTTATATAGGGTTTTCTATCAAAGAAAATTATGAACACAGTAATAATTAAAATTTTAAGCGCTTTCTGGTGCTTTCTCTTCTCGAGATCATAAAATTTTCCAAGAGGAAAATAAAATATAAATATATCTTGTTCACAAAATTTGAAATGAAAATGTATTCAATTTTTTTAGCGTATTTTTCAAGTTGAAAATGAAGCATCTGTAACGAGTTCTTATATTCATACAAGTGAAACGGATTATCACTTCATTAGTTAATGTTTTAGTGAAACAAAAACCACACAAAAAAGATTTCAATCGTGTTATACTCCAAATGTAGAGTATACCACTGAGAAATGTAGATATCATGTTCTGATAGAAAAACCTATATTTATTCTTAATCTCATATCGGTCGTATAATGTGTACAATAATAGTTAATAAAAGATGTATATATGCACATGCATATACATATGTATGTATATATAACAAAATTTGTAAATAATTAATCAAACAAATATAAATGATTCAATTAAAATTCTTAACATACTTTCTTCTTAAATAAAATTCTTACATTCGTCTACTTTTTCAACAGTCTATTAAGCCTTTATTGGTAAAAAATATTACAGCAGATAGTTTAGTTATTAGTAGTTTTCAATTATTTACCAAAACTTACATTTAGTAACCAATATTTTTATTTAAGAAACAAAGTACAATGTAAACAATTTAAAAGAAAGAACTTAAAATAATTGTGTTCAATTTGTATCAATCAAGGTTTATATGAAGGGAATTAAAATTTCTAATACTACTATTATAAGGGAACTTCTGATCAACACTTGTTGTGTCGTTAGTATATTCATATATGTATGTATATTTATATACATACATATATTCTAAGAATACAATCCGGCACCACAGAGTTCAACTCATTGGGATACAATATAACAAAGGAAAAATGGTAGCCTGAAATATTGAAATATATTTTTTGCAAAATAAATTATCTAAGTGGCAAATGATGTGCATTATTAACTCTCAACTCAATATTAAATATAAAAGAAAATATGTACATGCATTTAGGTACATCTATATAAAAACTAGATGTAGATAATCTATGTTCTCTAAAATTTCTTTGTTTTATGAGAAATATTTAAGACTTGGATTCATTAAAATGGATTGGTTAGTTGTTATTGATTATAAATAAATTTTTGGAAGTAACCTATAGGTATATTAGAAAATAGTCAACAATAAAATTATAATTTTAACAGATATTGTCTTTCACGTTTTTATTTACATTTATTGACGATGGTCTTTAAATAATTTTTTATCTGTATTAAACATTTACCTCTTTTTGGTATTATTTATACATATTTGTAAATACTAATCTATTTTTCGAAAAAAACACATTGTACATGCGTATGTACATTGAAATCAAGAAAGTTATCTCAAGAATTTTCTGATTCTTTATACCTAAAATTAAAAATAATATTAAATTAAAATTCGTTATAATATCATAGCATTATTGTTACGATGGACCGAAGTATTGAGTCATTGAGTAATCTACCATTCGTACTTACTTGCATTTTAAACAGGTGAAAAAAACAGTTTGACCTTCATCAGCCGATCGTAGTTGCAATGTAGCATATGACATTTTATCATTTCCACACTTTGTACATTTTCTATCTACTACGGGTCCATCAGATTCATTTTCTTCTGATTTAATTTTCTTTAATTTTTCACTGTCGAAATTTTTGAAATGAATAGTATATTCTATATTTACATCTCCAAAAACTAAAAAAAAAAATAATTTAAAAAATTTTAAAGCCAATTAGACTCTTACCTTCAGGATCAAAAGCGTTTTGGCAACTATAGCAAGATATTTGTCCAGATTTTTTTAAGTGTGGAAATATAGATCCGCAAGTCGGACAAAAGCCGGGTGAGCTTGAAAATACTGCCATTACTTTTGACAACTCAGTTTTGATTATTTATTCAAATATAAAACTTGAAGCTATTTGAAATATATATAACATAAATATTTAATACACAAACATACATATATTTTAAATATTCTTGTATTTTCGAGGTTGTTTTATTTTATTAAATGCTGTTTGACATTATATTTGACGTTTTTGAAATTGAATTTCTATTACAATAAATTTAAAACATAAACATTGTCAATTTTTTTACAAAGAGTTGTCGTTCAATTATTTTGGTGTTTAACCCTAGAAATCCTAACTTCTTTGACATCCTCTATTAACTTTTGCCGTCTTGTGATTTTTTTCTATAACAACCTCAAATATTAACTTGACTGACTCTTTATGTGCATCCATTTTTTAATATAGCATAGCACACGAAAAAAAATTATATAAAAAATACATTAAGCGTACACACACTTAAAGTACAAATCGAAAATAATTACGTGTTATTTGTACGTATGTATAACAATAAAATTAAAAAATGATTTAGATTTTTCTTTACTTAAATTTAATTGAGTTAAGATTTAAATTTAAGATTTGATTTGAGTCTGATTAAAGTCACATTCACATATGTTAAAGCTATTTGACATTGAACTTTTTTTGACTGCAAATGACAGAAATTGCTCTCTCATCAGATTTACTCTCAGGCTCTTTAAAGTACTGTTTAAGTTACATTATCTTACTCTTAAGGTAAGATCCTTACATTATTTGATACAACTTGAACTTTAATTTTAAAGTTCGAATTTAATCTAAGTCTGGGAAAAATCGTATGTATGGCGACAGCGAATTTTTAGCGAAATTTTTGAATGATCAGGCGTGGCTATAATTTTTATTGTGGTTATGATTTTCATTGCAAATTTTTAAATTTTGGTGTAAAATCTAATATAATTTCAGTCTAATAAGAAAAGGGCATCGAGATTTATTGCATATTTAATCTTAGATTTTGTCGTATATGTAAACAGTGCCTTAAAAGTTCATTGATTCGTCTGAAATAAGCTGAAGCTGAGTGAACTTTTTTTATTACACTCAATTGAATTTTTTTTGTCAAGAATAAAAAATGAAAATTACTAATAAAAAACTAAATCGGTTTTTTCTTAATTAGAAAATTAAAAATCACTCTAAATGAATCACGACATACAATTAGGAAGTAGACAGGCATGCAATTTTTAATTTTGCAATGATCACTTATTGACACTCTATAGGTTCATATTAATACATTCAAGCGCGCACACATATAAGTGTATGATCTCATACAATTAAGCAATGAAACATTTTGTAGTTTTTAAAAATTGATCGCAATTCTTGATTTACGCGTTCGATTTGAATTGCCGCAATAATTTTGTTGCTCAGATGTTCGTGCAGCAATTTGCCTGCCCAAGACCTAAAAACATCAAATGTGCATGACTGCCTAAGACCTAAAAACATCAAATTTGCATCAGCATCAAAGTCGTAAAAGCGCGAAAGAAGCATATTTTTGCAGCAATGCAGTGTAATAAGCGCACTGACATACATATTTTGAGGTTTTTGATATTTCCGCAAATTTGAATGCAAAGTATTAAGTTTTCGAGTTTGATTAAGCAACGAAAAACTTGATTCAAATTAAGACTAGCGGCGCCAACTGAAACTACAATTGGCAAAAGAAATGTAAACACAGAAACCTTTACTAGCCAATATAAAATACCAGTTATTTTTAGGATATGTTTCTCAACTAAAAGCAATTTATTTATTTTTTAATCTGACGAAGTATAAAATTCAGAAAAATATAAAATTCCAGCTAAAATTGTATGCTCCATTGTTTCAATATAAATTTTAAATTAAAAAAGCAGTATTAATATGCTATTGCCTCGTTTAAAAAAGTATGGCTAAGCAGTTATTGCTTTGAACTTTAAAAAGGAATAAAATAAAAAAAACAGTATATGTATGTATATATGTTTGTAACTAGTTATGAAGTTGACAATCTATTTTGAGTATTTTACTATTTTCTGTGAACAAACAGTATGTGTTGTCATTTATTAGATTTCGTTTTGATAATAAGGTATCTACAAGATTTTTTTGTTTAATCACCTGATTGAAACATTACATATACGCTTATGTATTTGATAAGGAATTTGTTTTGATACACCGTAGACTATGGATTGTGTTAATGGATCACTCAATCAAGATGATATCAAAGAATTTAAATCATTAGGTAAGAAAACAATATTTTAAAGATGCGCTTATTACATATACATATGCTTGTCTCACTTAGATTCTGAAGTACAAGAGCTAATCAATGCAGCTATAAAAGCAAGAACATTTTCTTATAGCCCTTACAGGTATTACAAAAATAAATGTATATATGCACATTACGTATTATTTAAAAGTACCTGGATTGTCATGTTTATAGCTACTTACATGTAATGTATAGCTTTGCTAATTAAAATGTTTTTTTTTTAGTAATTTTGCGGTTGGGGCTGCTATACGCACAGAAAATGGTCAAATTTACACAGGCTGCAATGTAGAGAATGCTGGTAATTATGACTGAAAAGTAAATTTTTATATATTAAAAAAGTTTAGCTTTTAGTTCAAGTATTTGCGCTGAAAGAACGGCAGCTTGTAAAGCTATTAGCGAAGGTCACAAGGTTTTTACTGCCCTTGCAGTCGTAGGTCAACAAGAGAAGAGTTTTACGACCCCATGTGGTGTATGTCGGCAATTTTTGTTTGAATTCGTCGATAATGATTTTCCAGTTTATGTAGCTAAACCGTCCCCATACAGAGTTCTGTGTACAACAATAAGCAGTCTTTTACCAAGAGGATTTAAAACGTATATCAATTGACTCAAAAATATTTGACGTACATATTTTATATGTAGATCTATGTAAACTTTGTTATGTAACCAAATTATTTTGTGTAAAGAATTCTAGTTGTTGATAAAATAAAATAGCTTATTAGTATTTCTTTCTATGTTAAATTTGACTTTAGAAGTTTTTGATTGTACATATGTATGTAGGAATAGGTGTATATGTACAAACATACTTACATAAGCGAAACCGTATACTTAACTTTTACTTATTTACGTAATTTTATAATAAACAAATTACATAATATGTAGTTACTTCCTATGTTAAAATTTCATAGCATTTTAAATGGAAATATTCAACTTCAAATTACTTATAGATTCGAAAACTTTTCGAAATACATGTGCATAGGTAATAATAATGTACCTACCATTAGCAAAATTTCAAATTTATTAAAAAAATACGGCCAACCCATTTTTGCACTCCATATATCTAACATATTTTTCTTTAAAATATACATACATATACATGTACACATTTACAAATAAGAAGCAAAATTTATTAGCAAAAAGAGCTTTAGTATTTATGTGAGCTGGGGCTTTCTTCCATACTGCACATAAAATCTAAAGCAAGAAATAGTTTGAAGACGAATGATTATTTACGAGTGGCTTATCTAGATTATATACCATCATGATGAATAAAAAACAAGAATGCAGTTATTAATATTTGGTAAATTTTTTATAATTTACATTCTTTTTAAGATTTCGCTTTTATTTATCTCAATAAACAGGTACTGTACGTATATGTACATATTCTGAATTTTATTAAATGTAAAAAACTAATCTAGTTTTCAGAAAGGGTGCGAGAGTACATTTTCAAATTGGTGTGATACATTAAAAAGGTTAAGAAGCACTGGTAAGCTTATTAACCTTTTCGATATATGTACATATTCATGTACATATGTACATAAAAAGGAAATTGAGGTGAAAGTTAAGAACAAAACTAAATTGAAAATTCTTAGTTTAAATCAAAATATTTATGCAACAACGAGTATAAAAACTGAAAATCTTTGAAATTTAGACTAGAAACACTGTTCATGTAGCATGTTCTATAAATCTATCTACAGAAGAAGCAATCATGAAACTTAAAGTTCTAAAGTATTTCTAACGTTTTTTTTCAATTCTGTGGATTCTACATTTATGTATGTAAATATGTACATATTACAAATTTTCATGAACGCAATACTGCAAAAACAAAACTTGTCGAATATGCAATATATTTTCAACTATTCTATAAAATCAAATCTGATTTTATATTCACATTGAAATTGATTTTATATTCACATTTATTTTCGCAATTATATTATGAATTTTCCGTTATATTATGAATGCGTTTAAAACTATAAGTAGAACAATTAAATTCAATTAAAACGATTTTAAATAATTGTTTATTGACTACTTTACTTTATATTTAAAGTAAATATTCGTAAATTCTTCTAAAAATATAAAAGTAACTACATTGCACAAACCTATCCGAATGAAATATGGAAAAAAACCAGAAAAAACTTTTGCCATTCCTTGAGTTCGACAAATTTTAACTAACACATCAATAGTTCCTTTGTATTCAAGCTCTCCTTTTTTATTAGTTTTCATTTCTTGCAGTTTACTTTTTGCAAAATCTATGGGGGACGTTAAAATTGAAGAAAAAAACCCCATTGTAAAACCGCAGTACAATTGCAATGATCTATTGTCCCGAAATTTGTAATTTTGAGTTAAATATTCTTTTAATTTATAATAAGGACCCAACTGTACCATATTAAGTAAAATCCCTTTATACATTGTTGGAACAAGACCTCGGAAGAGTGTCGTGAAACCTTCCTCTTTTAAAATTCTTCTAAAAGCATCAATAAAACTTTTATAATTTCTTCTCTGATCTTTAGGAAATCTGCTATCACTCATCATTCGCACTAGAACAATTTCAGTCGGTGCGGATATAAAAGTTCCTATTCCACCGGCAATAGATCCATTCACCAATCGTACTGTAAATGATGAATTTTTTTGAAATTCTTTTTTGTACAGGTTTTCCAAAAAACTATATGTACCAAATCGTCCACTACAGTACAGTATTTGTCGCAATAAAGCTGCTTCAACTCCGACGTACAGTCCCGTTAAACCATCATGTTTCAAAATTTTTCGGAGACAGTCCGTTGAACTTTTATATAACGCATCTTCTCCTTGAACTTGCATTCTTGTTTTAACCACCTCAATTGGATTGATGACAATAGCTGAACATATACCGCTCAAAGATCCTAAAATGCTGCTTAGAACTGGAGACATATTTTGTTTTTCATCTGCTTTCTTAATTCAAGATTAAATATTTAAAATAAACTTTAATCATTTTTTTTTTAAATATTTACCTGCATGCTGTTTAATTTGAGTACATATACTTATTAATTTGAAAATTTCATAAATGTTTCGTATTTTATAAAAAGGTCACTAAGTTTTTTGTATTAATTTAAGGGAAATTGTTAACAAATTTTAAGCCTAATAAAACCTCCCCGCTTAATGTTTAAACTTTTTCCAATTATATGTAGTCATCCCAGTAATTATTTTTGCATAGGAAAAATTTAATATATTGTATTGCAGTAATTAGATGATATTTTGTAAAAATAAAAAATTTTTAACAAATTTCAAATATGAGTAATTAATTGTACACAAATGAATAGAAAACAACCTAACCATTGGTGAAGTCAGTGGTTATAGCACCGGTACTTTAACCGAAGCGTCTCGGCTTCAAATCCTGGTCAGGGCTCTATAAAAATTACATTCAATATTATATATAATTTAATACACAAATACTAATAAATATTATATTATACAAGTAATTTTCAAATATTCAAAATATTCGATATTAAAAACTAAGAAAAATAAAAAGTAAATATCAATAAACTTTTATATTTAATATAAATAAAACTACAATAGGCTAGTCACTTACCTAGTTAACTCTATGACGCTATGAAAATAGGGCATGAAAAAAAATAGAAAACAAGAATTACAAAAAAAAAAAAAAACAAAATACATACATATTGCATATGTATAGTTTATTTATAAAAATCAAATTTTGTACAAGTAAAAACAAAATCGTGCATGTGTTTACTCAATTCGAAAAAATATACTACAGAACAATACTAGCCCTATACATAGAGTCCCCAAACCCATAATTTTAATGTTATAGAAAATATTATTCAAAAAAAAGAAACTACTCTAAGACTCAAGCAAATGAACATTGCCTCTATGTACATACTCGTACATATAGATTATAATATTGATGATATTATATGTATTGTATTCGTTATGATGTTGTATTCTGTATGATATTACGATGAATTCATTTTTTTAACACTTTTCTACAAAAAATTGAAATGAACGAAGGTGCTTATTAGTTTTACTCTATTCGTCCGTCCATGGACTGGTTTACAAAACTTCGATACTTTTAAATAATGCCATATGTATCTACCAGACGATCAAGCTGAAATTATTTTCCGAAATTTTGAATCTCAAAAAATTACAAAAACAATTCTTAATACTTTATGTTTTCGAAGTATGCCGATTGAAATATTTTTTTATTTTTTTTGTGAAATTTTTGAGTATTCTTTGTGACTCTCTCTTTATATAGAACTTTAGTATTTAAAAGCCATCTGGATTATAATGATTATTTTTTTGTTTTTTTTAAGTTCTTTATAAAGAAATAGACTTTATTCTTATTCAAAAATTTTATTCTGTAATTCACTACTATAATTTTTACCGACCGTGTAGGTAGGTTATGTGATGGCAACAAATTTTGCGTATCGAGTTTTCGGTGGGAATACGCTTCTCCATAGTAGGGAAGTGTAAGTAAACTATTTTTAGCAACCTGTCGGTCTGTCGGTTTGTGTGAACGCGTGTATCTCAAGTTCGGCTGAACCGATTTTGATGAAATTTTATATGTAAGTTTATTTCGACCATGGCTGATTGATCAACTTTTGGGATATATCAAGTCTGGGGAACTGCACTTTTCAGCGGGTCTACTTTACATTTTTGGCCATTTTAAAGAAAATATTGAAATGCTTGAAATTTTATATATAAACTTTGCTCGAACGTCCGCGAAACCTCCTAACTTTTGGAAAAAATCAGGCGTCAGCTTTACACGTTTACTATGGGCCAAATATACATTTTTGCGTATATAAAGAGAAATAATCGACCGATTTCATTGAAATTTAATATTTAAATTCTTCGTATTAAAACAATGAATATATAAATTTTTTGGAAAGATTTTTCACCATATCTACGGAACGAATCGATGGAATTTCTTGAAATTTGATATTTGAGTTCTGATTGTTACCGAAACTAACTGGCGAGCATTTCAGTGAATTCGGGTAGCAAAAAGTGAAACTCTATTAAGAGCCAAATTTACATATTTCTAGGTATGTTAACTATAAACTTACTAAAATATTCTACAAATTAAGAAGTATTGAACAGACTATTTCTATTTAACTATTCTGACACCCCTTCCATTTAAACTACATTGAATTTATTTTCAATTTGCTCTCTGAGCTTGATGGCCTGATAGATACATATACATATGTATATTACTTTTGAAAATAGAAAGCTGAAATTTCATACGTACTTAAGTTTTCACTTCTTGTCCCTCTACATCTTGCTCCTCTAAAAGTTTTGGCTTTTTAAAAAACGTAATTTTTTAATTATTTATTGCAGCGAAACCACAAGTATTTTTAATTTCGCAAACGCAGAAAAGTAGCGCCTGGCTTTCTCTACCGTAAAATATCAAATTTAACTTTAAAAAAACGAAATTGTCGTTAGAATGTGCCGTTATTTAAAATGCGTTTTTTTTTCAAATTCTACATCTAAGATTGTAGTTTATTTCTATAGGAAATTTTTTCCACCTCCACCCCCTCTTGAGATTGTTAAATTCCAATTTTCGACACCTTGTATTTCCGAAACTGTAACTTTTCAAAATTTTTATAAATGCGAAAAGCTCAACTCACGCAAATACTCGTAAATTCAAATTGTTTTGTTTTGTTTTAAAGGTACAGTGGTACAAAAAATTATTCGTACAAGATTAAGTTGCATGTTTTTTTTCGATTCCCAGATATATTAACTTATAAAAAAAATTTTTTTTTAATAAAATTTGTTCTTCATTTATTTCTTCTTAATTATCAACAAAATAAAAAAAAAAAAAAAACAACACATAAGTAAAAAAAACAACAAAAGCAAATTTCGATCACATTTTCAAGACAAAATATTATTCGTACAATTCAAACAAGTTCAGATAATTACAGTTATCTTAAAAAATATATTCGTTGCCAATATTAATAAATAAGAATTAGTCAATATCCAAGTGTTCTCATACATAAGTCATTGATTGGTGCAGTTTTTATCCATAATTTAATAATACGAGTCTAAAGAAAAAGAAACTACTCTTGAGGAGCGCAAAATAATAATTAAACTTATCTCTGGAGGTAAAACTTATAAGGAAGTGGGTAAAATACTTGGAAGAAGCCACTCGTCCACTCAGTCCATTATAAAAAAAATATAGACACGAGGGAATATTATCAAATGAAGCAGGCAGAGGTAGAAAAAAACTTTTCACGCAAGCGACAGACAATTTAATTATTAGTAAAGTTAAAGCAAACCCCAAGATTCACATACCAGAACTGACTAATCAGAAACGGGAAATCATAGAAAAACCTGTTAGTTCAGAAACGGTGCGAAATGTTTTACGGAGAGCTGATTTTCACGCCAGAGCACCTAGAAGAAAACCATTTATTTCAGAAAAAACCGGAAGCTAAGGTTGGAATTTGCAAAAACTTATATTAACAAGCCCCCAGAGTTCTAGGAAAAAGTAATTTTCTCTGACAAATAAAAGTTTATGATTTTTGGATCAGATAAAAAGCAAAAGGTGTGGAGAAAGCTTAATTCTGAATTGAAAAAAAAAAATTTGCCAGCAAATTTAAACATGGTGGAGAAAGTATTTTATTGTAGGGGTGTGTGGCAGCCTCTGGGGTTGGAAATTTGGATATTATTGAAAATATAATGGATAAATTTGGAAACTTGGATATTTTAAAACGTAATTTGGTAGCTAGTGTAGAAAAACTAGGATTGACCGACGAATACTACTTCCACAAAGATAACGACCCGAACCACACTTCAGGTAATATTAAAAAGAAAATCACATTTTATCTCGGCTTTGTCAAGAATGGTTACTTTACAATGTTAGACATCAATTACACACTCCCCCACAATCATCAGACATCAACTGTATAGAAAATTTATGGAACACCTTGAAAACACGAATCCGAAAACCTAAAATTACAAATAAAAATGAGTTAAAGGAAAGGTTACATGAGGAATGGTCAAAAATCGACCGTAATGAAACTTTAAATTTAATTAAATCTATGCCAAATCGTCTTAAACCCATAATACAATCCAAAGGGAATCATACAAAATATTAAATACTTAAATTATTTTCAAAAAACTCGTAATTTTATTTTTGTACGAATAATATTTTGTCTCGAAAATGTGTTCGAAATTTGTTTTTGTTCTTTTTTTTTTGCTTATGTGTTATTTTTTTGTTTTTTATTTTGTTGATAATTAAAAAGAAATAAATGAAGAACAAATTTTATTAAAAATAATTTTTTTTTATAAGTTAATATATCTGGAAATCGAGAAAGAACATGGAACTTAATCTTGTACGAATAATTTTTTGTACCACTGTATGTAGTCTTTGAAATATATTCGTATATGAAAAGTAATTTTAATAATGTTGTAGTACCCACATATTATGTAGTTTTAAAAAGTAATATTTTCACTGGTCGAAGGGAAAAGTGCTACATTACAAATCATTTTGTTTGATTCAACATTATTTATTTCAAATTTTTGTTCACAAATAAATTTTGAGATTAAAAAGAACCCACGAGTAATTATTGAGATTTATATTTTGATTGTAATTGAAAACACTTACTTATAATTCTTATTTTTTTTTTATTAATTTATATTTGAAATTTTATTAATTTTTTTTACAAATCAAAAAAAGCTGATTATTGAAAGAAATTTGTCTCTACAAAAATAATTTTTGGGATGACTGTACATAGCTACATTTTTAAGGAATATTTCAACATATATGGATTGTTATGGGCTAGAAAGTCATAGTACGGCATAACCAAAAAAAAATGTATTTAATAATAAAAGACTGAAATTATTTTTTTTACCATTTTTATTTTTAATATATTATATAACATAATATACAATGTATTTTTTGTGTTTAATTTTATGGTTAATTTAAATAGTTTGTAAATGTAAAGTTGACTAAATTTTATACAAAAGGAAGTCAAAATTACAATTACAAAGTTTATTCATTTTTGAAGATTCTGTCTTCAACCAGAAAAATTCAGAGCACGCAAAATATAATTCTTAATATTTTGTTGCTGTCAACCATCGCGTTTCATCAATTATATTCAATACTTGTAATAAAATTTTTTATAAAATGTGTTCATAAAGTGCATTTTTGTGAAATATTAAAAAAATTAGTAAAACGTAAATTATTTAATGTCATGTAAATCCTAACGAGCTTAACTTTAATTAATAACTCTTTACCACTTCTAATAAATGTAACTGATATATTATGAGCCTGTTACTACTGATTTTTTGATAGATTCCAATTTACGCTTTTTCATACTTTATAAACTATTTTTTGCCAGTTTTTAATTTCTTTTTTATATGTGTGAATAATAAAAAAGAAATTATATATCTCATATTGGTTAGAGATTCAAAAATTGATTATCCTTTTATTAGTTACAAATGCAAAATATTTCAGAAAAATATTTTTCAATAATTCATTAGAATTTAATTCTATTAGAAAGATTTTATATGAAACAAGTTTTATCTTTAAATTATTTCGGGTTGTCTAATTTTGAGTGGTCCATAGAAAATTGGGAACCCTACTAAAGTTGATATACATACATATATGTTTAACTAAAACTTTGGGTATAATCGGAAAGTAATGAAAAATGTGCATCAATTTGCAAAATTGCAAAAACATTTGCTGATACCTACCGATATGATGTGTTTATTTCGAAAAGGTTTTGCGTAAAACTATTAAAATTACTAACAACTGAAAATCTATTAAAAAAATTTTTTTAATTTCAATTAAGTTTTGGTGATTTTAATATAATGGAACATTTAAAAATATTCATACCGCGCATAAAGAAATAATTAAATTTACAAGTTATTGAGTTAAAATAATAAATTATTAACTTCTGAGCTTCCATTTAAAAAAAAACTTTGCAAAAAAATTGATGCACAGCTGATTTAATAAGAAGTGCATTTTTGACATTTTTGCATGATTATACATCGATTACTTTTCGATTATACCCTTTTTGATATTAATAATAAGTAAAATTTTACTTCACGCTATTTCAATGTTTTATACTATTTTTTCATTAATAACAGAAGAAAAAAAAACAACCAAATTACGTTTCTAGATCTTTGATAAAGAATCTAAACGTGACCGAAATAAAGAAACAAATAAATACGCATACACAAGTGATAACTAAAATATTTGCAATTGATTTGCAAGTAACCGTTTCCTTATTTATGAACACATCTTCAATTTTATGTGCACTTACCACAATGTTGTATTCTTCCATTAGTAAGATTAAACTTTAGTTTCGGCGAAATATAATCCAGATTTCGTGAACGAATGTTGTTTCCCACCACGCATAAACAGAGCTTTAGAAAGAAAGTAAATTGTTATAATACTTATTTGATAAATATTTAATTAAAAAAAAAAAAATAACGAACTGCGAACTGTTTCAAATGTATCAGTCTAAGCTATAGTTTCGGTAAAAACAAATAATAAATAAAACAAAATATATGTATATATTCGTATATATATATATACATCTATCAAAAAAATAAATATCTAAAAAAAATCCATACTTTCAACACCTATATCAAGTTTTTCTTCTTTCCTTGGATCTACAAGAATAAATTATATATTTAAAACAAAACCTAATTTAAAACATTATTTTGTGACAAATAATAAAAGAATAACATTTATTTGAAACTAACTTCAAATCTTAAAATAATTCAAAATTCTACTTAACCTTCTTCTTTGTTTTTATTTTTCTTGTATAATTATTAAATATTCTTTGATGTCATATTTCTGCCTGGAACACCACTTTAAGATATAAAATTTATCTTCCTGGTAGGTATAAAACCTAAATTTCAAATTTTTACTTATATACAACCAACTTTAGAAGCATTTTTTTTTCTTGTTTTCACCTTACTTCTTGTTTTGTTATGATTGCGTAGATTTCAAAAATTTTCTTTAAGATTTCCTGACTTCTCGATTTGCATTTATTGTATTACATCTAAGAAAGTTTTACTTTCTTAATTAATTAAAAATTATTTTTCGATGGTTCTTTACATTCTATGTATATCTATAATTTATGAAAATACACATACATATTTCCTTTTATAATCGATCACTTATTTTTTAAAAACATCTGCTTAAAAAGTGTTCTTTTTTAATAGTTTTTTTGTTTTTAATTTTTTTTTTTATTAAAATAACTAAGTTACAAAAACTCCTTAACTCTACTTTTTTTTAATGCAAATAAAAGTCTATTAATCGTATATTCTTCACAGTTTCAAAAAAATATGAGTACTCTAATATGGAAAATCCTAAATAAAATCTTTTACAAGAAAACAAACTTAAACAGAGGAAAATAATTTTAAATTGTGTTTTTATTTTTAAACCTTCAATTACACAAAATTTTCCATAAATGTAAAATTGATTTAAAAACTAATTTTACAATATTATTTTAGATAAAAATGTTTTTTTTTCTTTCCTTTTTTTGGTATGCTACATAGCTTAAATAAATAAGGATATTGAAAAAGGAAATACTTTATGTACAGATTAGAGACAATATTGCGAAATATAACAGAATATAAAAAATATATGTATATATATATATTTATGTATATTATATATACATACTCATATGCATATACGTATATAATTTTTTTTAAAAAGTTAAGGATAGGGTGACTTGAAACTGTGAAAACTTAAAAAAGTTTTATTTTTTCCTTCTTTTGTGAAAAAAATTATAAAGTTAAAACATCCTTTTTTATTTATTTTGCTAACGTATTTTATTTTTAAACGTACACTTTGTGTGCATTCAAGTTGATTAATTATGTATTTATATTAAATTCATTTGTTTTTCTTTAATATATTGAAATTCTTTTTTGGACGATTTTATTTATAATTAAATATCTAACATACATCATACATACATTAGCATTTAGTATGGCTACGTTTTTATGTTCAATTTTTTTTCTATATTATTAGAAAGAATCAAAAATTAACTAAAGATTATTAAGACATAGTTTATTTTATTTTTCTTAGTAAATCCTTGAAGCTTCTTATTCTAAAAATCTTAGTAATCTAAATGAAAATTATGGTTCTGTCATTAAAATTATAATTTTAAATTATCTTATTTTTGTATATTTTTAAAGGTGGAATTTCTTTAAACAAAAACAATGCTTTTGTTTTTTTATATATTTTAAATATTACACGCTAAGCTTAGTCAAAACTACGAATAAAAATAATAGAAGTAGAGTAGTTAAAAATTTATTTTTTGCCTGTTTCTTATTTAGTCCTGGGGGTATTACTTGCTGATATATTGATTTGATTTAAACTGCCTCTCATCGTTAACTGTGTTTTTCATAATCCTGTTTCTAAAACTTTTACTTACTGCACTCTATAGAAATCTCTTGATTTTTGCATTTTTACTTTAATAAAAGGACTTTGGCTAAGTTTTTTTTTTAGGTATTTCTATAAATATTTTTCTTCCTTTAATTTTCGCATCTTACTATTTTATTTTATTTTTGTTTTTAACTAAATACTTTTCTAAATTTTTACGAATAACGTTTTTTACCTAGTAATGGGAAAAATGAAATGAAAAATATATTAGATTTTTCTAGATATTTTTTTGTGTACTCTTTGTTAAGAAAATAAAAGTTAGTCTAAAATATAATATTTTATTATAGTAATGCATATATTATGAATGTAACATATTATATAATATGTATATATAATTTAGTTATTTTTGCATATTTCTTAATCACAAACCTAAAATATTATTTTCTATCCCATGTTATTTAATTTTAATTATAAAAAAATAAGAGAAAAAGACAACAAGTTTCATATAGCATTAACCTTACGATTTTTAAGTAAGTAGTTCAGTTACTAAAAAATTTATTACTGACTTCCTCTTATATCAAATAAAGATCTTTGTAGCAACGATGCGTGTTACAGTGAATAAGATTTAATTCAAAACAACATAGCTTTAAACGAAGCCTAAATTTTTAATATCACAACTTGACAAATAACTAATTCAGACAGTTTCTGATATCAGCAGAGTGAAGTTGTGTAGGAAGATCAAAGAAGTGTAAATATTGTAACAACTCATAAATTACTAAAAATCGTTTGGCTTTGCATTATGGTTTTCTATTAAAATTTCTATTTCGTAAAATATTAAAAAAAAAAAAAAAAAAAAAAAAGAAAATTATTAAATAACTCGGGTTAAAGAGCAACTATAAAACCATTTTATATTGGGTAGTAGCTACAGTCTTAAGTAATAATTATTTCTTTACCTTAGTACAATTAGTATCTGCGATTTCCCCCTCCGCCTCCCATGTTTCCGGGACCACTATTGTAACCTTGATTATATCCTCCACCACCTCCGCCACTTTGATTCATACCGGGACCTATGAGCACATTGTTTTTACGTAGATTTTATTCATTACAGTAAGATAACATTTTGCTACTTACCACCTGGTCCTTTGTTGCCATATCCACCACCACCCATATTGTAAGGGGCAGGACGATTAGTGCCAAAACTTTGATTCCTTTGAGGACCTCCACCATATCCTTGTTGATAGCCTGATCCAAAATCATTAGGGCCCCAATTGTTTCCAGGGTTTCCACCACCTCCCCCGCCCCCCATAGGACCGCAAAAACCACTTCCCCCTTGATTTTGATTCCAGCCACCGCCTCCGCCGCCTCCTTGCATATTTCCGCTATCCCATGGATTCATATTACCTCCACCACCACCGTTCCAATTATTTCCTCCTCCTTGATTATAGCCCCCACCACCGAAATTTCCGTTATTATTACCCCAATCATTTCCACCCCTACTATTCCAACCTTGGCTTCCACCACTTCCACGGCCACCACCACCACCGCCTCTACCACCCATTGGTCCTCCCCTATTCATATCACGGCTGCCGCCACCACCTCCTCCACGTCCTCCATCGGTGTCAGATTTGGAAAGTGCTTTTTTAACATCAAGTAGCTTGTTTTTAATAGTGTGATTTTTTTGCACTAAAAGAAATATATTATAAATATAAACAAAAATAAGAATATATATACATATATTATATAAATGTGTATACTTTTGTAGCAACGCTGCGTGTTACAATGAAAAACTTATTTATATTCAAAGTAACATAGCTTAAAACGAAGCAAATTTTTTTTTACAACTTGATGAATAACTAACTCAAACATTTATTTCAAGTTAGCACAGAAAAAGTTGTAAGCATCACTTATTCACTTGAATTTTTTTGTATTAAAATTAAATAAGTTTGTAGGTGTTTGTTCAAAAATGTTTAAATAGAATTTTTATTATTATATCCTGTTTTTATTATTATTAAAATGCGCTACAATCATTCTTTACTAAAAAAAATTTAAAAATGGCGTTTTTCAGAAAAGGTAAGTGTCTCTAATACTGACATATTTCGCAACAAATTCAACTTTGGCGTGAGATATCTCATATGTTAGACACAATAAGTGATCGTGTTTCCGATTTTTTGAATAATTTAGAAAATTGAGAATGATGTTTTTTATAAAATTATTTAATAAAAAATATATTTTAATTCATGATTTTTCGATTAAAGATGAATAAACAGAAATAATGTTCCTATTGACCTATGCACAAATGTTTGTGTCTATTACTGAAAGTTTGTGTTCCTAATACTGACAATGTAATTTCAAATGCTTTAATCTATATTCTATATATGAATAATAGTTCAAAATGGTTAAAATGGTAATATTGTATTACCGCCACTGTCAGTATTAGAGACACTTACCTTAAGTAGGTATGTAAATATACATGATATACAAATTAAAAATTTAATTTGTTCTTATTTTCATTTTTTTGTTTTAAAATAAAACACATTAAACGCATGCAGTTGTTCAACTTGCGCATATTCTTTTAAAGTTCAAAACAAACAAACATGAATATTTAAAAAATACTAAGCTTATATGTATCGATTTCTACCATAGCTGACAGAAATCAGGCATGGACCCTAAAAAAGATTGACAGTTTACAGTTGTCAAATTTCTGTTATAGTAACACGAATTCTTATACACAAGCTATAGCAGGTCCTTTTTAAAATCAACACTGTCGCAAAATCTCAAACTTTTTTAAAATTTTTAATTAATTCAATCTTTTTCTAGTTTACTAGTGCTTACATTCTTAAAGTTTTGTGTTATAGGTGAGTTAAAGTTAGCAGATCTTGCAACAGAAAATCTAAAAACTTTAAAAAACCGTTCTGAAAGATGAAGCATGAATCTATTTTTTAAAATGTCAATTTCAAATTTATTAAGATTAATATTCATATGAACATATAAGGTTAGGTATAAAAATTGGTAAAAAAAAAAATTCCTCAAAGGTTAGGTATAAAATTGTAAAAAAAAAAAATTCCTCATTTAAGAAAGAAAAAAATAAAGAGGAGAAAAATTTATTTATATTTTTTGTTTATGCAAAAAGTTAAAATTTTTTGCAAAAAATTTTGATTTAGATTATATAAAAGTGTGAAACTAAGCTTTTCCTCTACAACCGGGTTCTTAAGCCTGTATGAACCTAGGGCATTTAGTTTTTGGAGCTGTACCAAAAATAGTGACATTAAAGTCATATAGATCTTTCGAAACAATGTTCTCAAACTCATCGCTAATGCGACATGGTACGTAAGTAACGATACTTTGCACCGAGACCTGAATTTGCGAACAGTCAAAGAGGGAATAAGAAAACAAGCGATCAATCATTAATTAAGATTAGCTATAACTTTTGAATGCTGGTCAAGTGTCAAGACGATTTAAACGTACGAAACCTCTTGAACTCATCGGCTAAACAAAACAACATTTGTAACAGGGAACGCATCAATAAATGATGCCCCCATAAACCCCATTTCAAGTCAGAAAGATTGCTAGATAGGAATTACTTTCTTTGTTGCAATAAAATGAAATTTTTTCTTATATTCGTTTTTATATAGAGGGTAACTTGAAACGACGCATATTTTATAATCATTATAGAATTTTAAAAGTATGTATTATAATAATTACAAGTTAAAATCTAATAATTACAAAATTAAATTCTTACCTAAAATCTAATAAAATATTTATTTTATATCGAGTATTCTGGACTAAAAAAAATATAGCACCAAATTTTTTTTTATTCAGTGTATTATGTTTTACTCTCAATTCTGGCAGGCATGTTGCCTTACATGGTAGTTCAAAAACAATGCGAAAAAACTTCAAAATATGTATGAAATTCAATCAAAATTTTAGTTAATTTAATTTTTTTGTTTGTCTAAGAAAATTTCAAATTTCATTTTAATATAAAAATTGTTAGATTTTAGTAATTTTTTCATAGAAAACTCGAAATGAAAACAGGTAAAAATTATTTAAAAAAAATCATTTAGAAATATCGTTTTGCTAAAAAATACATTTGCAGTTTTTAAAACATACATTCACAAAAACATAAAGGTCCAGGCATTAATTTTTTTTTATGTAAAGGTTTTTCTGTTGAACACATTGAAATTTAAAGTTTTAATTATTTAGCATATATTGAAAATATAAAGCCAATTACACAGTTATAAAAGTAAAATAAAACTATTACACTTCTATTTTCCCGCTGTATCTTGTAGCAATAAATCTCAAGGTTTTGTCCGATTATGAACTAAATTTAGACAAATGAAATTCAGACCTAAATGCTTTAATATCACAGTCATAACGCCACTAATATGTATTAAATATATATAGTGGAGCTGAGACTGTACGTATGACTGATAGGTATAAGTATAGGTATATATTATAATTATAAAAGCCAATACCTATTATAGAAAAGAATATAAATTATTTCAATTTTCTATTTGGCTATACTGATATCCTTTTCAACATTTGCACATTGTGAATGTTCCAGGCGAATAAATAGATTGACAGATAAACATTATTTTAAAATATTTAAGATTTTTTTTTCTACACTAATTAATTTTATACTCACAAACAGCTTTGTCCACTGGATCATAATCATCAAATTCAACAAAACCAAATCCTCTTTTTTTCCCAGTATCCTTGTCTGTTACAACCACACAAGAAACAATGTTTCCATATTTCCCAAAATAATCCCTTAAATCGTCTTCTGAATGTTCATCTTTTAATCCGCCGACAAACAATTTTTTAACAGATGCACCTGCGTCTGGTCGATTAATGTCTTGACGTGGAACTGCACGCTTTGGCTCAACCACTCTGTTTAAAGTTAAGGAATATATGTATTAGTATATTTTAACGTTCTGCAGAAATTTCTTTTTACCTCCCATCAACCTTATGTGGCCGATTTTTCTGGGCATCATCCACCATATATGCCCTGGAGTAAGTTATAAACCCAAAACCACGAGATCTTTTTGTCTTAGGATCTTTCATTACTACCACATCAACAATTTTACCCCATTTTTCAAAGTGTCCTTTCAAAGAATCATCAGTTGTTCTATAATCCAACCCTCCAATGAATAACTTTCTCAAATGTTCTGGCTCACGAATATCCTATAAATTTAGAAATTAATTGATATTATAAAGAAGAAAAAAAAGCGACGCCATATTGGAAAAAAAATCGATATTACCCACGCGGCTTTAATAGACGCCATATTTAGCAAAGAGGAAAAATTTACTTAAATATTTAACAATTAACAATATATATTAATTTTCTTGCAAAATTTAAATATAATAAGATTAAAAACCAAAGCGATATTCAATAATAGAGTTATCCCTAATGTATATTGCGCCTTAAAAGACTACAAAAATATTTTTTAGTCCAATGTACTTACGTCATCCTCATCATTGTGATAATTTCCGTTTTGATTGTCTCCAGCGGGCATTTTGAAGATTTTTATTTCAATTTAATACTTTAAAATTTACAAAAAAAAAGAAACTTATAACACTATTTTAATTATGTACTATTTCACTTTAAAATTTTTTTTCTGAAAGTTTAATTAATTAATAATAATCACACACCTAAATTATATATTAACTCAACGGCGGTCGCAAGAAGAATGGAACGAATCGAATGGCAATCTTTATTTTGAAGACATATGACTAGTATTGCCAGATTTGTTTTTTAAAATTTCACATTTAAAGACTTAATTTTTCCCACAACCTATAAAACGTCAAATGTGTGAAATCAATAAACAAAAATTTTAATAAATAGAATGAGGTTAAAAAATATTGCATAATAAAAAGTGATTTACCCAGCATTTACACGTACAAGTTACTTGCAAGAAAGTTGCAACACATACAAAAATTTTACTAACACATTGAAATATTTCTACTTGCTTGTTTACTTGCAGTTCAACTTGCAAGAAAATTTTGCTGCCAGTAATTTGAGCAAGTAATTTGACATATTGAGAAATTCACAAAAAAAAATTTGTTGCTTTGATTTTTTTTTTTTTTTTTTTAATTTAAAATTTTTGAATTTTCTTTTGAAAAAATTAAACTTAGCAAACTTAGCTAGTTGTTTTCTTCTCAAAGACATTTTCAAAAATTAACTTGCTAAACGCCTACGTCATAATAGCAAGTAATTTGACATTTCGAAAAACTAATTGACAATTAATATTATACAAACTTGCATGCAAGTAACTTGTATGTGTAAATGCTGGGTTAGAGAAAAGTAAGTTTATTTTCTTTCAGTAACAGAAAACTTGAAAAAAAATTTTCATGATAGGAATTATCAAAATGACATAATTAGCTTTCCAATTATAATAAAAATATGTAATTATGTGTGTAGCAGTTTGAAAAGAATAAATTTCTTTCAATTCTGAATTTTACCTTTTCCTCTGTTTACTCGGAAAGTGAGAAGAAAGTGAGTAACTATCATATACTTGTATAATGCAATTTTCGAGGGAGTAGAGTTATTTGGTATTGCGTACCTCGTTTTTTCTGAAATGTATACAAAATTTATTCACTTTGTTTTTGAAAATGAGACGTTCGATAATTTGAGAAAAAATGCAAAAATTCAATTAAAAAACATGAGTAATTTTACCCAGCATTTACACATACAAGTTACTTGCAAGCAAGTTTGTATAATATTAATTGTCAATTAGTTTTTCGAAATGTCAAATTACTTGCTATTATGACGTAGGCGTTTAGCAAGTTAATTTTTGAAAATTTCTTTGAGAAGAAAACAACTAGCAATATATATAATTGTTTATAAATTTTAGAAACCATAAGTTTGCTAAGTTTAATTTTTTCAAAACAAAATTCAAAAATTTTAAATTAAAAAAAAATCAAAACAACAAATTTTTTTTTGTGAATTTCTCAATATGTCAAATTACTTGCTCAAATTACTGGCAGCAAAATTTTCTTGCAAGTTGAACTGCAAGTAAACAAGCAAGTAGAAATATTTCAATGTGTTAGTAAAATTTTTGTATGTATTGCAACTTTCTTGCAAGTAACTTGTACGTGTAAATGCTGGGTTATTGAAAAAGTGAAACATCCATTAGAAAATACTGCGAATTCTGATTTGAAAGTGAATAAAAAGTGAGTAAAAAAGCGAAGTACAAGATCAGGCTATAATTAAAAATTATACATAATTGAAAGTTAGATATTTCAAAACTAAATGTAAAAAACAATATTCTTATTCAATAAAAGGAAGAAAAAGTCAAAATTGAAAATATCCATAGAAATAACGAACTCTATATAAAAAGAAAAATTGATAAATTAAAAAGCTTAAAAGGTTGACTAACAAATTTTTACATTTTTTACTGCCTGAAGGAAACAATTCTTCTGTTTTACTTTACGTACTTTTTTTAATTTTGTTTGGAAAGACTATTATCATATCAAAATTACTTCGTCAATGTTTTTTTTATTGCCTTTTTTTTTTACATTTGTAATATATGAAAATGATAATAACGAGACAAAGCTTATTTTTCTCTAATAAGGTAATTGAGCTGAAATTAAAATCTGTTTCGTGAAACAACCGAATATGTACACTATATACTGTATAGTGTTATATACTACGTTTATAAGCAGCTTCAAGTGGAATTCGAGCTCTTATGAACGCTACTTGACTTGAAATTTTAAATGACTTGAAAAAGAAATCACTAACTGACTTGAAAATCGACTGTACGCTGATTGAAAAATTGAATATGACAAATTACAACCTAATAGTGTTATCTAGTTTTTCATCTCTTTTTTTATTCGCTTTCAGGTCTCATTTACCTCGTTTATATGGCAGCTTGAGTACTTGACTTGAAATCAGCTTGAAACTCAAGCAGCGTTTTTAATATGTCAGCTTCAAAGCTTGAAAATGACATTTAGCTTGAAATCAGCTTGAGTTTGACAGTCTTTGAAGTAATAGAAAACAAAGTAATTCAAAAAAAAAGAAGTTGTAATTAATATTAGAAAATATGGATTGTAAAAACAAACAAAAACTCTTAATAAAGTGCATGGAAAATTATAAAATCCATCAGGAAAATATAATCAAAGTTTTTATAAAAAAAAATAATAGAAATAGAGTGAAATTTTTAAGAAGATTAAAAAATAGAATAAATATCAATTTTAAAAGACATAGTGATAACATGAAGAAAAATATTGAAATTATACAAAATTCTCAGAAAAGAAGCAGAAAATTATGGATGAAGGATATTTTTTGCCATCGATTTTTTCTATAATTTTTTGTTCCTTAAAAAGCTCCAGCATAACCCGCGTCTCCTCATTGCTCCAAATATTTCTTTTCGACATATTCTACAAAAAATTATAAGTTTATAATAATAAATATCAAAATAAAAATACAAAATATCATGTACATATGTTCAAAAATTAACTTACCTTTCATTTGTATTGACACTTAATAGTTTCAAATTCATAAAGCACTCTATTTCTACTGTCATTTTAGGACAAAATATTAAATTCTGTCATTTTCAAGCTCTCAAGCTTTCAAGCGGTGTTTTTACTTCAACATTTCAAGTCAAGTAGGCAAAATTTTTTGATTGACTTGAGTGAAGCCGATTTCAAGTCAAGCAGTGTTTATATGTACATAAAATAGGTTTCAAGTAAGCTTGAAGCTGCCATATAAACGAGGTAATTGTCAAAAACAAGGTGAATAAATTTTGTATACATTTACACGAAAAAAAGAGATACGTAATACCTAATAATTATTCTTTTCTATTAACTATAAAGAAATGGAATTGCAAGCTAGAAAAATTAAAATACTGCTAAACGAAAACTCCGCTTTTTTATATGAAATGATTTGGTAAATTTTTTTAATCACTACCTTATGATTGAAAAAACTTTGAACGCACCCCCATTCGTTAGGTTAAAAATTTTGACGGTTTTGACATTTCATAAAAAAATTGACTTGGTTGATTATTAGAAAATAGTCTTTGAGAAATTAAATTTGTAAATGTTTTATTTCGCCTAAAATTTATCCCCAATTTTGAAAAAAGAAAATATAGTTATCAAGTAAGTAAGTCGTTTCATTATTATGTGACAGATATTTCATTATTTATTTCTATTTAAGGTTTAATGATTACAACTCTACACTAGCATATTTATAGATTTCGCACAGAATATTATCCGCTGCCTTCGAAAATATTATATTTTAGTTTTAAATTTGATTTCGAGATTCAATTTGTTATATTTAATGAAACTTTAAAGGAAATTATCGAGATTTATTTTGTTTTATGTCAACTGAATATTCCTTATATAGAAAAGGGCGAGTCCTATTTACATGAGTGCCTTAGGTATAAATAAGTTGAACTGATAACAGCACGATACAAATTTCCGTCCATAAAAATTACATATCCATCTAAAAATAGTAAACTACATTCCATAATTACATTATTTTAAGTTAGAAAAATTCAATAACATAAAACAATGAATGAGTGTTGACAAAAGTTGAAAAAAATTGTATAAGAATTTAACTAATATCTTAACTGATGAATACGCAAGTTTAATTTAAATATTTTAAAGTGTACTTAACAAATACAAATATTATTTGAAAATGTCTAGAAGTAAAATTAGTTGCAGAGCTGATAGTGAAATGATCGAAATAAAGTCCAAGTTTGATGCTGAATTTCGTAGATGGGGTTTTAGCAGAAATCGAACGAGTTTTGATTTTTTTCAGTCTCTAGTTGAACAGTTGCATAGGCTTAATAATTTGGAATTCGAAATATTTTACGTTGATCCTAGTGATAACGATTTGTTACCAATAAACAATGACGACAATTTTGGTAGAGCTTTAAAAACAGCAAAACCTTTGTTACGTGTTATTGTTCAACGAAAAGGTGATTGTATTCAAGACTATTCCGGTTATGGAACGATGAAATCTCGTAATATAATTAGCAGTATTTTACTTGGCCAAACTCCTATGAAAGCGAAAGGCCCTACAATATCGAATCCTCATGACTTTAGACAAGTGTCTGCCATTATAGATGTAGATATTTTACCAGAAACATGTCGCCGAGTAAGACTTTTAAAACATGGCAGTGACAAACCGTTAGGCTTTTATATACGAGATGGAACATCTGTTAGAGTTACAGCAAGTGGTTTAGAAAAGCAGCCTGGAATATTCATATCAAGATTAGTTCCAGGAGGTCTGGCAGAAAGTACAGGTCTATTGGCAGTCAATGATGAAGTACTTGAGGTTAATGGTATAGAAGTTGCTGGTAAAACACTGGATCAAGTAACTGATATGATGGTAGCAAATAGTTCAAATTTAATCATTACTGTTAAACCGGCCAATCAAAGGGCGTTGTCTTCTTCGACAACTAATGCAACTACTCATTTACGTGGTTCAATGTCTAGAGCCAGTCAACTATCCGGCGGTTCGCAACAATCTCATCACACAAATACTTCAGATGAAGCAGAACAAGATGATCAAGATGAAGTTGTTGATTTGGTTGGGGGAACGGGGACAATTACGGGAGACAATTCTTTAACTTCCAATTCGAAGGACAATGTTTTACATTTATAAACTTTTATTGCAAGATTTTTTGAAACTAGATTTTTCAATAAAAAAAGCATAAAATAATAAAAATTTAAAATAATGCAGAAAAGTGCACTTATATAACGTATGATGAAAGAAAAATCATTCCAGAGAAATATTAAAAAATGTTTTTACTTAGATTGAATTGTTATAAAAGAACGGTAAAATACTTAATTAAAAAAAAAACATTTTTAATTATAATAAGGTTGTTTTGTAATATTTAAATTTATCACATTTTACACACATTATTTTATTATAAATAGTATTATATTCAATTTGAAAACATTTTGCATTCCAATGTTAAAAGTTTAAGTTTCAACTATTTTAAACTATTATACCATTACATAATTCATATTTTAAAATTATTAATAAAACTATAATTATGTTAAAAGAGTTGATAAGTTTATGTTTTTTGAAGTGGACATAATTTTTTTATATATTACATCAAATTATATTTGTTCTGCATTTATAATTTACGGAAATTTTATACAGATTTTAAGCTAAAACTTGAAATTCGAAGAAACAATTATTAAAGACTTTGAAGTATGCATACTCATTTTTATTCGGTTTAAACTAATTTTATGGAAAAGTTAAATTTTAAAATATGAATATACTAATTTATATGTCAACACATCTTTTCATCCAGTCATTTAACTTATAACATTGTAATTCTGTATAAAATTAGAAAAAGAGAATAAATGAAAAGCAATTATTCTTATTTATTATTTCCATTGTGAAAAATCAAATCTGGTTTCTTACATCTGTACGCCAAACTTTTTTAATACTTTAATGATAGTTACTTGAAATACATAATACAATACATGACACTTTATTAGATTCATGATACAATACAAATTTTATTTATATTTAAAGGCAAATGACAATGCAATGTATATACACAAAGGCGTACACTTGTATATAATATTTAAATGTAGCTAGCTAAAAATTTTAACAAATCAAACAAATTAGCATATATTCACTTGGTCTTGAGAGCTTTTATAATAACCGTCAATTTCATTGTAACTAACGTCATTTGATACTCCTTTTTCGAATCCACATTCGAAAAGATTTGGATTGCTAAATAAACTATTTGTACAATTACCAATTGATGGGGTGTTATTTATGCGGTTGACATCATCAGGTTTTTCTTGAAGAGTTTTATTTCCGGATACTAATGGTGTAGAATGCTTTTCTAACAACACTCCATTAACAGCATTGAAATTATTAGTTGCAAAGTTGTTATTGGTAGAACTAAATTGCTGCAAATTGGGTAATGCTATCGGTGGGTAACAACTACTAGGTGTTATAATAGATGTCATAAAGCCATTTGCCACCACAAAATTTCTGAAATGGAAAAATATGTACTTTACAAGTATACACTAAATGAACATAAACAGAATATTTTATATTATACCAGATTATACGTTTTTACATTTAAGTAACGTAGTAAAACTGTTCTATAAATAAAAATATGTAAATATCGTTTAACGGATGTAATTTTTATTAAAAAAAAATTTTAAGTGTTATTTTTATTATAATATGCAAAAAGCAATTTATATTCATATAAATATCTCATTTTCTTAAATAAGAGTGAATGTATAAAATTAAAGAAGTCTTTTATTGTTGCAATTAAAAACAAAAATTGTCTCTAATGAAAATAACTACCTATTTTCATTTTATCTATTTTCATTTTGTCATCTATTTTCATTTAATAGCTTTCGTAATTGCTTACATTTGCGTGGTAATTTAATAAAGAAAAACAAGTATATACATTAAAGTTAAATTTGGTAAAAATCTACAAATGGTTTATAATTTCCTATATAGATCATATTTTCAATTTAAGTACGTACACATTTGGTTTTTCAATGCAAGCACATATTACTTTTTTGGCTTTCTGGAATTTCAGATTATTAAATATTTTAAATAAATTGCTTTACCTGTATTGTTGATCAATATGAGCTTTTTCTATTCTTTTGTCTTTTGCTCTTCGATTTTGAAACCAAATTTTTATTTGAGTTTCTGTTAAGTGTAATCTTTCAGCCAATTCGTATCTTCGGCTTCTTGATATATATTCATTTCTATGAAATTCAACTTCAAGTCTTAAAGTTTGTTCACTACTAAAGGTTGTACGCTGGCGCCTTGGACGGGACTCTTTTCGGCGACGTCTTGCGACTGAAAATTACACCATACAATTAATAAAAATTTATATATATGTACATATTTACGTACGATTTGAAAATTGAAACAAAAAAAATATTAAATAATTTGAAATAGTTTAAAAAAACTAACTGTTTATAGTTTTGTCAATATTATTTATATATAATATTGAAATATTGTTAATGTAAATAAAATAACGTAAAACGTAAAGAAATTAATAATTAGTAATTTACACTTGAAAGAAATAATGAAAATGTGTTTTCTTAACTATAAGCAAAAACCCTATATATATATTTGTATGTATATTATATTTATTAAAATTAAACAAAAGTTACGCTTACGCATAATATTTTAGTGATGTTGAATTAAACACTTGTCCCCTCGAACAATAAAGTATCTCTTACTATTTTTATCAAAATCTTCAAGCTAGGTAATAAGAATTCAATAAGTATCTCTTGAACTGTTAGGTTGTTACTTTAGAATGTTATGTTTCTTGAAATCATATACATATTTTTATAATAACTTGCAGTTTTAATTAACATTTGCATTTTGTATTCTTTTTAAAATTATATTATGTTACATGTTGTATGATTTTAAATTTATTATATTAATTTTATATTATTAAATTGGTCCAAAATATTGATTTTGTAATTCTGAATTTTTTATAATTAAGTTTTGGTTGGAATATATTCTTTATCTAGTTCTAAGCTTGATGAAGAATTTATTATAATATATGTACCTATATATTATTATATATATTTTATACATGGTTTTTGCTAATAATAAACACAAAATTGATGTATTGGAATGTATCTTCATACATAAGTGTAATGCATATGATATAATAATATGGTATTTTCAGAAAAATAATTTCATAGTTGTACAACTTTATATATATGTATATTTATATATTTGTGTGTTTAAAATGGGGATTAGCTCTTAAATTATATTAATTATATAAAATTATATATGACGTATAAATGCGTCAGGACACCTTAAACAAAACTGAATAAAGGATGTATATTTTGTACGTATCCATTTAATATTACTCTTTTGAATATTTTTTAATAAATAATTTCTTAATTCATCTTATACAAATATTTGATCAAATTAATAAGCGCATACGTTTTTTTTACTCTATATTTTTTATTACATGTATTAAGTATAACTTGCATCGCAACATTTGCACCCACTTCTTTATACATACTTATACATATATTTTGTATATACTTATATATTTATGTAAGTATAATAAATCTTTATTTTTTATAACTTCCTTTTTTTTTTAATTCTCTTTAAATAATTTTATCAAAACATATTTATTAAAAAATGATTTATTAACACATAAAAAAAAAAATATTATTATTATGTGTGGTATGATGATGTTCATCAATTTAATGTTAACGAACCATGCGTGATAAATACTCATCAAACAAACGGAAAATAAAAAAAAAAATTCAGAAAGAAGCAAAAACAATTTCTTTTTTGTAAGCTATACATATATCCCTAATTACAATAACAGCTTAACATTCAGTTGCATGAAAAAAAAAGAAAAATATCCTGTTAGGAAGGATTTTTTTTATGATTGTATTCTACAAAAAAAAAATGAATGTGTTTTCATAGGTATCGGAAAATTTAACATAATATGTATATATGTATGTATAAACAAAACAATGTTAAATTTTAACCGCAAATTAAAAAAAATTTATATGTGTATTTATATAATGTGATACTTTTTATGTAAATACATATTATAATGATAATATAATAATTGTCAGAATTTATTATAACAACATTAATAATGATTTTATTGTTAAAAATTATTTTTAACACCCATTTAATTGTTATGTGATTTTCGTATCAAAAAAAAAAATAAAAATTATGAATGAATGAAAATGGAAATTTAAGGAACGGTTAAAATTATAATATTTTTAATTTGGTTGAACTGAAATTTTACTTGTTATTTATGTACATAGCTTATTATTTAGAATTTTGCATAACTAACTCCATTTTCAGAAGATGAAAAATATTAATAAAAATATAAAATTTGTATGATATTATCAAAATATTTATTATTCCGAATAAAATATTATGGAAGCTCGCCAAAAAAAATTTAATTTCAAAATAGCAACTATGTTCACATTGCTTCATTTTCCGAAATATAATAATGCATTATTGCAAAAAAAAGGTTATAAGTAAATAACACTTCTTGAACTAGTGAGCGACGGAAGTAAATTTTCGATTGAAAATTGTAAAAAATTTACAATTATTTGTTTTTATTTTGTAATTCGTAAATATTTAAGAGAATTTATTATTTTTATTGACATTTAATATATAAAAGTTCGCATCATATTTTCGTATAGCTTTCAAATTTTATGCTGAAAGAATAAATATTTTGATTTTGCATTATATTGAAATAATACTGTTAGAAATTTTTTAAAAATTCAGACAAAACATATGTATGTATTTATGTTGGGATACGAATTCCCTTATTCAAAAATGACAAAGGAAAATAATAGTAAAGAATTTACGAAAATTTTTTAAAAAATTAAACAGAAAATTTTAAATGCACCTTAAAAAATTCACTTGCTATTTTCCCATCTGTTTTATATAATTTTTAAAAATTTTCTAAATTTATAATTCAATTTAAATAGAGACATACAATATTTTTATATTCCGCTCTTATTTTTTATTATCAATTATATATAAGGATATCGGTATAAACATACAATGTGTATCCATATATAAATTGTATATGAGTATATCTGCATAAAAAAGTATACATATGTTTACATATTATACTTTTCTACATATTTTTTCAAATTTATGTACATTTTAGTAAAGTACTCACTTGTCTTCCTTTTCAAGTACATTTTGTTATAATAAGAAGATTAAAAATAAAAACTATATTGTTAATTTAAAATATTCACACAATGTGTATAAGGATAATGTAAATAACTATTATATCTATATATGAATACATACAAACAATGTTATATGAATATTTAATAATATTGCATACACTAGATTTATGTGAAGAAATATTTGAAACGATTGATAATTAATTTTTAAAAAGTATTAATAAATAAATATATGTATGTATGTACGATATAGTAATTACATTTCTACATTTCAAGTATTACATTCAAGTATGGAAATTTTTATTAAAACATTTTTATTAATAGACTCCAATATACTTCATCAACACTACTAATTTAAATTTTTATTACTATAAAATTGCATATATTTAGGATGTTAAGTTTTTATTCTTCTTTATTTTTTACATAATAATAAATATAGAATATTTAAGAGTTTATTTTAGGCTCTATTTTACCAGTCATTTTTTTCTTTTTGTTAATGAATTAATAAAAAAATTGGCAAAATTTCAGTTACACCAAGGCTCAAAATAATAGTGAATCGTATCTAATAGAAAATGCATTTTTTTAAAAAATTAAAGTAAAAGAAGAAGAAAACGTGGTTGGCCCAATAGTGCCGTGGTTTCAGATAGCGTTAGCTATTTGAATTATTTATCATTTTTAGTAATACCGAATATGTATATCTATCAGCACCTATATGAAGCTGAAATTATTTTCTGAAGTACATATTTTAAAGTAGCAAAATTTACAAAAAATTCAAAATGAAAATAGTAAATTTTAATATGAGAAAATGTATTTTGAAACTAAATTAGTAATATAGGTAGTAAATTATTATAACTATTTTTTTTCTATTTTTTCTAATGAAAATAATTGTAACAAGGTCACTTACAATAGCCAATAGGGTGTTTGAATATTTTTCTTAAATTCTAAATCAAAAATTTATCTGTAGTTTAGTATGCTGTCCTTTTATTTGAAAGACAGAAAAGGTCCGGGTGGCATTCTAATTTGCTGTTATAATTTTTTTCAAATACATTTAACTACGAGTATAACAAATTTTTCCACACGTTTTACTAAAAATGTATTAAAAATATTATACGATTCCCATAACACAAATAATTTGCAACACCCCTTGCGATTTTTAAAAAAATTTAGGAATTATTTTTGATTTACTTTCTCAGGCAAGCTAGACAGATATGATTCGGCAATGACTTAAAATATTTTAAAAAATTAAAATTTTACGAAAAATTTTTTTTTTTTTCATTTTCTATTAACAAGAAAATTTCTTACTTTTATCCCATTTTCAATTATTGCCCTGCAAGTAATAATAATAATAAAGAATACTTGAATAACTTTTTATAATATTATCATAAAAATAAAGAGAAATGAACCCAATGTAGGCATGTATGTACATTAAAAACACGTTTATTTTCTTTAAATTGAAAATTATTAAGGGCGAATATTGAAATTAGTGGACTACGGTAATGATATTGTAAATACGGAAAATATTGAGTTTTGTTTTTTTCTGATTTGTTTTTATCTAAAAACTAAAAATTGGAATGTAGTACTCTGTAAAACCATAAAATATTATAAAAGAACAAAAGCAATCAAAAAGGAAAGTTCTTGGTTTAATAATTGAAAACGATAATTATGAAGAAATGAAAGAGTAATAGAAATTATTCAACCATTAAAATAAGAAAACTCGTTATATAAAAATTTAGAAATAGAAAAAAATAAGAAATTCTTACAAGGATTTATTTGACCGTTAAAGAAACGACCGTGATTAAAATTCTGGGTTTCATATTTCAAAAAAAATATTATTATAAGATATATATATTTAATAACTATACACAAATGAGGATAATTGTATATGAAAATTGGAAGCAAAAAACTTAAGGTGCAGTTGAGTAATGCAGTTATTGATGTGTTCGAATTTGTATATGATAATTTTGCAAGACTTAACATTAAAATCAATGATAATTTATATTTTAATTATTTATAATTATGTTTCTGTTTTTAGTAAAAATTTGCAATTTTAATACTTTAACATAAGAAAAAAACGAAAATTCAAGTTTTATTTAAACATCTCTACGAGTACCACGGAATATCGGCAGATTCAACAAGAAAAAAATAAATAAGCGA